CGCTTTTGCGTTCTCTGGCTGCTCTGGCCCACCCACCACCCATGGATCCTGCGGATCATCAACTCGTGGCCCAACTTCAGACCCTGCAACGAGTTGTGGCACTCCAGCAACTTGTACGAGCAGCAGTCATAACTACCGACGACGTCGGCGATTCCCTGGAGACCCACAGCTTCACCAACCGCAATTGGGAGAATCGAATTGAACAAACCCGACTGACCTTTAGAGATCTTGATACATACTGCCAGAGGCAGATCAACCAGATCCTGGAAAATATCCACGATCTCTTTCACCAAGGTCAGTCATAAGTTCCATAAATTCAGGTTTCACAGATATTTCCTGGCGTACAGTACAGCCTTGCCCACCGTTCGTGAGATAGTGGGCTATGAGGCCAAGACTTGAAGTCCCCCGATGAGGTTTAAAAAAGGCAAGGCGTGAATCTGCTTGCAGTGAAGCCGTTGATCAGTTGAGAAATTGGATGTGCGGTGAAAAAATAAAAATATTGTTTTTTTTCTTCTGTTGGCCAGATTCAGTCACATCGGTTGTCGGTTCCACCAGTCATTCAGCATAAATCATTTTTCAACTCACCCTTGCAAGTTGTTCAGCGTCGACTCTTCTTGGCCAGCATTCCCAGTTCCTTCCACAGGTTATTACCTGAGTTGTGTTTGTACATGAAGGCTTTAATCTGGTTCAGCAAGCGCTGGTCGACACGGCGATCTAACTTCCCGCGAGTTCGCAAATTGGAAACAACAATTTTTTGAGAATCTTCCAAGAGGCATCCAACAGTTGAATTGCGTAGCATCAACAGGAAAGTTATCAGTGCCCCACCCCATCCCCACCCAACCCACATGTGGCGTAGCATTTTCATCACATGTTGCGTACCTTGTCCGCTGCGGTTGCTGCGTAGAGCTGTGAGTTGCGTAGCATCAACAGGAACGTTATCAGTGCCCCACCCCACCCCCACCCAACCCACATGTGGCGTAGCGTCTTCATCACATGTTGCGTACCTTGTCCCTTGCCGTTGCGGCGTAGAGCTGTGAGTTGCGTAGCATCAACAGGAACGTTATCAGTGCCCCACCCCATCCCCACCCAACCCACATGTGGCGTAGCATTTCCATCACATGTTGCGTACCTTGTCCGCTGCGGTTGCTGCGTAGAGCTGTGAGTTGCGTAGCATCAACAGGAACGTTATCACTGCCCCACCCCACCCCCACCCAACCCACATGTGGCGTAGCGTCTTCATCACAACAACATGAAATTTGCATTTTGCCATTGGGTCGTAAATGGCGCCGTTGGCAAAAACAAGTATGTGCTTTGAGGTTGTGTTTCAAAAGTAAAGCTTGGTTCAGGCACCTTCCTCTATAATTGCCCCTCTGTGTTTCGGCTGACGTGTACCGTTCTGGTTGACGTTGTCGGTGACGTTGTAAACCCCAATTTTTTTTTCTTACGTAAATTTTGACGTTGTAAACGCCGATTTTTTTTTCTTACGTAAATTTTGACGTTGTAAACGCCGTTTTTTTTTGTCTTACGTAAATTTTGACGTTGTAAACGCCGATTTTTTTTGTCTTACGTAAATTTTGACGTTGTAAACGCCGATTTTTTTTGTCTTACGTAAATTTTGACGTTGTAAACGCCAATTTTTTTCCTAACGTACATTTTGACGCTGTACAAAAGCCAAATTCTTTTTTCTTACATAAATTTGGATCTTGTAAACGCCACTTTTAGTCTTGTTCATGTCATGATTGATGTTATCAACCCCAAACTTTTCTTGCTTCAAGTCATGACTGACATTGTGAGTTGTATTTTTTGTTTCCTGTGATTTTTGCGTCATGAGTCATGATTCATGATTTACTATGCGCGCCCATTTTTGTTCATGTCGTTATTGCAATGATTTTTTTGATGTTGAGATGGGTCAATTCTTTTTTGTATTGTCACACTCCTGATTTCACAGTTTGGGTTTTGGTTTGTTTTTTGAAACTCAGCTGGCATTGAATCTGGTGGGTGTGTTTAACTTGTTTTTGTCCCTTCATTGGCCCTTCATTGGTTGGTTTTGCCGTTGTCGTCGTCGTCGTCGTCGTCGTCGTCGTCGTCCTCGTGGTTGTTGTTGTTGTTGTTGTTGTTGTTGTTGTTGTTGTTGCTCTTCTTCTTCTTCTTCTTCTTCGTTTTTCCAGTTCTTGTTCTCGTTGTTCGGTTCTTGGTGATAACCGTGCTTGTGGCTGTGGTTCTTCCATTGTGTAAAAGTCACTGTCACACATTGGTACATGGTTGCGTTGTCACATCGTCACTTCCTGCGTGTAAGTGTTGCATAATACATAATGCTGAATAAATGATGAACTAATTTGTTTCCTTAAACCTGGTAGATCCTGGTAGGCTGTGGCAAGTAAAATTGGTAGGTAACGGCAGGTAACAAGACAAAGACTCACCTGCGAGAAAGGCAGGTCCGATCAATAAAGCAAAGATATAACAGGATGTATGCATGCATGCATGTCTATGTCTGTATGTGTGTATGTGGGTTGTATGCGTTTTGAAACCAGGTAAAATTCGAGGCTCACGCCGCCAGCCTCATGGAGCTACCCCTCCACGGAGAAGAGGCGATGGACGGCCCCCCCCTTCCCTCCCCACCCTACTTGCTGACGCGCGCTGGGAAGACCCCCCGGTCCCCAGCCGGCTGCCGCCTTAACCCACGAACACTGACGCGCAGCAAAAAGGAGTTTGGGGGGAAAAAAAAATATGGGCAAATGTGTGGTGACACACAGGCAAATTATGGTGACACACAGGCAAATTATAGAGGCCAACGCCTAACATGGGCACAGTCCCGAACTATCCCGAACTATCCCGAACTATATGAAATACATCCGAACGGTTCAGAACGGTTCAGGTGTCACTTCGTTTTCCTCATCCTTGCCCCCAGGATGGATCCCAGAGGACCACTGACCGCTCACGTGACAAGATTGCCTGCCTTAGACGGGTTTGGGTGTGACATATACTTTTCAGAAGATTGTGAAATTTAGCCTAAGTTTCCTCCAGCCCCGTTCTTTGGGAAAACATTCTGCCACGACTTGTGTCACAGCCTAAGTTACTTTCAGACATGCTTTTCTTCACCGAAGTTTTACTTGAAGTACCTTGACCTATGGCAATTTACAACTCACAACTTGCAACTGACATCACTTGTCTTACAACTTTTCTTCCTCTTATAATTTGTAATTAACTAATTAACTTAAAACCTCATAGCTTAAAACCTTTACTTGTTTACAAGTCATGCATCTTCAACTTGTTATGTTGTAAAAATTGCCCACTTTTAAGCTTAGAATCTAAGGCAAAAACCTGATACGCCTGAACCGTTCGGATGTATCGGAGGCCTGAGTTCGGATTAGTTCGGAATAGTTCGGGATAGTTCGGGATAGTTCGGAGACGCCTGAACCGTTCTGAACCGTTCGGATGTATCAGAAACTGATACGCCTGAACCGTTCTGAACCGTTCGGATGTACCAGAAATTTACAATGTTTTTTTAAAATATTTTTCTATATTTTTGAACTTAACTTGAACTTAGTTTTTAAACATGTAATTTTATCATCATTGACATGGATAACTGGATAACTTATTGATAACTTAATAACCTTTCAACTGGTGGGCTGACAAAAACACATACTTTAACCTACCTTATCACTTATCAGAATACTGAATCAAAACTTCATAATCATAATGAATCAAAAATGCCAAATTTACAGCATAAAAAATTACGTCGGGAAAAAACGCCAAATTTACAACAACAAAATTTACGTGAGGAAAAAAACACCAAATTTACAACACCAAAATTTACATCAGAAAAACATATGCCAAATTTACAACATCAATATTTACATGAGAAAAAACACGCCAAATTTGCAACACCAAAATTTACATGAGCAAAAAAAACGCCAAATTTACAACATCAAAATTTACGTGAGAAAAAAAAAAAACGCCAAATTTACAACATCAAAATTTACGCGAGAAAAAAAAACGCCAAATTTACAACATCAAAATTTACGTGAGAAAAAAAACGCCAAATTTACAACATCAAAATTTACGTGAGAAAAAAAAACGCCAAATTTAAAACATCAAAATTTACGTGAGAAAAAAAAAACCGCCAAATTTACAACATCAAAATTTACGTGAGAAAAAAAAAACGCCAAATTTAAAACATCAAAATTTACGTGGAAAAAAAAAACGAGAAATTCACAACATCACTTACAACATCGAGGACAACATTGGACGTGTGCCAAAACATTGATAGAGGCAGGTGCCCGAACCAAAGTAAAACATAATGAACGACATTGCGTTCCCGGCATTTTTTCAGACCCATTGTGCGAAGTTTGCAAGCAGTGTGACCGTCAAAATCCAAACCCTACAAAATAATGAATTTGGACTGCTTTCACATCCGCATTTGATGAAGGCATTGGCCGGTTTTTCTGCAACTAGATTGGAACAAATGGGTTTGAATGCGCTCCCCTGCCAACATGTACGTAAAAATTGCAATACATTTCAATGTGTTTGCACTTGCTTAGGGCTTAGGGGTCGTGCGACTTTCGGCCAAATACAATAAAATTGCGTGGTTTTTAGAATGACTTGGAAAAAACAAACCATTCCGCAGGTTTACATTATGCAGTTTTTCTGGTTGGCATAGTCAAGAACATATCATACAGGTATCGAAATCAAAATTAAATCATGAACAGTTGACAACTCACAATTTGTCCATGTGTCAACGTTTAGTTTGTTGCACCATTAAATCATAGCAATTTGGCGACTTCAAGAATTGTCATCATTTCAGTTGAATTCATGTTCGGTTGCGGCAAATTCCATTGCCCATGACTCGTTTTTCGGCTCGAGCAAAAGGTGGCTTCGGCCCAAATACCGCGCAACTAGGTTTTCAGGCGTAGCAGAACTTCTTTCGTGCCCTGGCAGCATAGTTGTTTGATGCATCCAGCATTCCAACATGTGAAATCACTTGAAGTCCTGAGGTAGCCATGACGACAATGGGAATCAACGGTTTCGGCCGAATTGGGCGCCTGGTTTTTCGCGCAGCCGTAGAGAATCAAAGTGTTTCCTGGCAAACACACATCCAGTCAGTCCGACTGTTGCCTAACAAATTCGCCACACAATTTTGGCATGTCACATTGCATATCATCAGTGCATGTCATTGCATGTAGGTTTCCAAGATGCACGCATAACATCTGTAATTCTGTATTTTTGGCTGCCATGCGATATCGAGGTTTCAATGGTTGCAGTTAATGATCCCTTCATGGATTTGGACTACATGCAGTACCTTCTCAAGTACGATTCCGTGCACAAGAGGTTCAAGGGCACAGTCACCACCAAGAAGGCGAACATGCAGTCTCAAGCCGCTATCCCATTTGAAATTGGACAAAGTATGGTCATCAACCGGGATCACATGTTTCATGGTCAAAATTGGATCATGTATTTATATAAATATGTAAATACAGTAATATACATAGAATTACATAGATACACAGCCGTATTGGGGGATGGTCATCCCCTGATTGATGGTTTATCTTTCCAATTTTTTTTTAATTTTCTCCAGGAGGGCACCGCGGAGTATTTGGTGGTCAATGGAATGAAGGTCCGGGTCTTCCACGAGAAGGATCCAGCACAAATCCCTTGGGGCCAAGTGGGGGCCATGTACGTCTGCGAATCCACCGGCGTGTTCTGCGACAAGGACGGGGCGGGTTTAGCACATTTTGTTTATGTACTTGTTTGTTTTTGTATTCTATTTTTTTTCATTTTATAAATTTTATATTTTTTTCGATTTTTTTTATAGTTTAGATTAGTTTGTTTCATCGTATTACATTTTATTTTAGGTTATTTTACATTATTTTATGTTATTCTAGTTATCTAAAGTCGTGTTTATTTTATTTACTTTATAATTCTGAGTTATCTTATTTATGTTTTTTATTCATTTTACAGTTTTAAATTTATTTTATTGATTTTATTGAGTTTATTTTGTTTATTTATTTTTTTAAATGTATTTTATTCTTTTAACTTTTTAAATATTTATTTATTTATTGTATCGATTTTATGGATTATGTTTACTTTATTGATTCTATTGATATTTATTTATTTATTTATTTTTATATATTTTATTTATTTTTATGAATTTTATGTATTTTACTTGATTCATTTTATTTATTTCATTTATTTTGTTTATTATATTGATTTTATTGATTTCATTTATATATTTTGTTTATTTTATTGATTTTTATTCACTCTATTTGTTTTATTGAATCAATTGTAGCATTGGCATACATCAAAATGAAATAGCCCACAATAGAATCGTTTGCTCTGAATGACAAGTCCATGTGTCCTTTCCAGGATCTTGAACCTTTTGACCCCATAGCGCAGCTGCAGGAGAAAGCATCCAAGCACTTGCAGGGTGGATGCAAGAAAGTCATCATCTCTGCTCCACCCAAGGACAGTTGAGCTGAGTACATGCCAAAAAACCCCGGGGAGCTGCAGCAAGCTGCAGCTAGCGCCAGGACAGTACTCCGATGTTTGTGATGGGAGTCAACCAGGAGAAGTACACCAAGGCTGGGAAAGCTGGGGTGCTAAATGGATAGGAACTGGTTTATCAATCTGTCCACTGAGGATCTCACTGTGGTCTCCAACGCGTCTTGCACCACCAACTGCCTGGCTCCGCTGGCGAAGGCAAGCGGAAAATCCATGCTGCTTGTTGTCATCAGAAGCTTTACATCTGGTGGTTTTGTGTCAAGAAGATACTTCTCATCTAGTATATACATACATACATACATACATACATACATACATACATACATACATACATATATATATAAACATAGAGACATATATTTATATGATGATCCAAATGCTTTCTGCTTGTTTGCATGAAGCTTGTGTACTCGAACTAGATCTTGGTTCAGGTCATCAACGACAGCTTTGGCATTGTCGAGGCCAGTTCTTGCAATGAGGAAAGTACAGTGATCTTGTGAGGGTTGTGGGTTTGTGGATGGATGTTTCAAGCTGGGAATACATGGGTTTGTCGCACATAGCTGGGTTTTGCCGGTTTTGCAAGTTTGTCCCACAGGGTAAACCTGAATGGCAACTCAGTGGATCTTTTTCGACAACGGAGGAAACTTTTCATATCTGACATATCTTACCGTTTCCTCCAAGAGTTGCCAATGCCGGGTCCAAACATTGCCATGAAATTCCCAGAGCCAGGGCTTGATGACCACTGTCCATGCCATGACCGCAACGCAGCTGACCGTTGACGGTCCGTCTCGCGGCGGGAAGGAGCGCAACAGATTTTTTTTGGTGCTTGTTAGAGATTGGTGAGAGTTTTGAAATTTGGGGAGACTGCCTGAACAGTTCTTGGTTTTGCCGAGATTTCCGTGGATTTCCTCATCAAAGGAAGTTTAGGGGGAGAAACTTCCGTGTTACGGACTTTTAGAATGTCAGGGAAAGAGTTAGTCAAAGAAAGAGTTAGCAAAGAAACAGTTAGTCAGGGAAAGAGTTAGTCAAAGAAAGAGTTAGTCAGGGAAAGAGTTAGTCAAAGAAAGAGTTAGTGAGGGAAAGTCAGGGAAAGAGTTAGTCAAAGAAACAGTTAGTCAGGGAAAGAGTTAGTCAAAGCAAGAGTTAGTCAGGGAAAGAGTTAGTCAAAGAAAGAGTTAGCAAAGAAACAGTTAGTCAGGGAAAGAGTTAGTCAAAGAAAGAGTTAGTGAGGGAAAGAGTTAGTCACAGAAAGAGTTAGCAAAGAAAGAGTTCGTCAGGGAAAGAGTTAGTCAAAGAAAGAGTTATAGTCAAAGAAACAGTTAGTCAGGGAAAGAGTTAGTCAAAGAAAGAGTTAGTGAGGGAAAGAGTTAGTCAAAGAAAGAGTTAGCAAAGAAACAGTTAGTCAGGGAAAGAGTTAGTCAAAGAAAGAGTTAGTGAGGGAAAGAGTTAGTCAAAGAAAGAGTTAGCAAAGAAACAGTTAGTCAGGGAAAGAGTTAGTCAAAGAAAGAGTTAGTGAGGGGAAGAGTTAGTCAAAGAAAGAGTTAGTGAGGGAAAGAGTTAGTCAAAGAAAGAGTTAGTCAGGATATATGAGGTAGTCAAAGAAAGAGTTAGTCAGGATATATGAGGTAGTCAAAGAAAGAGTTAGCAAAGAAACAAGGTAGTCAAAGAAAGAGTTGGTGAGGAAAAGAGTTAGTCACAGAAAGAGTTAGCAAAGAAATTGTTCCCTCACTGTAAATGGCATTGCAAGTGGTGCTGGTGGAGGAGTTGCCGATGGAGTTTTGGAGAAAGTCTCGCACGAAATGCGTTTTTGAGAGATAGCAGATGCACGAAACCCTATGTTTTTCCATACAAAGTCCGTCCCCGAACCTCGATGATCTACCTCTGCGGTGCGACGGTTGCGAGAAGGTCTCGTGTGTGGTCGGATCATGGTCGGATCGGTCTCGGATCATGCTCGGATCGGTTCCGCATTGTAAATGGGGTTTCAACTGTTTTTCGTGCATGTGCGGTCGACAGAATTCCATTGTGATTTGCAACTGTAGGATCGTTCCCGCATTGTAAATGGGGTTGCAAGTGGCGCTGGTGGAGGAGTTGCCGATGGAATTCCATTGTGATTTGCAACTCTAGGATCGTTCCCGCATTGTAAATGGGGTTGCAAGTGGCGCTGGTGGAGGAGTTGCCGATGGAATTCCATTGTGATTTGCAACTCTAGGATCGTTCCCTCACTGTAAATGGGATTGCAAGTGGTGCTGGTGGAGGAGTTGCCGATGGAATTCCATTGTGATTTGCAACTCTAGGATCGTTCCCTCACTGTAAATGGGATTGCAAGTGGTGCTGGTGGAGGAGTTGCCGATGGAGTTTTGAGGAAGTCTCGCACGAAATGCGTTTTTGAGAGATAGCAGATGCACGAAACCCTATGTTTTTCCATACAAAGTGCGTCCCCGAACCTCGATGATCTACCTCTGCTGTGCGACGGGTGCGAGACGGTCTCGTGTGTGGTCGGATCATGCTCGGATCATGGGCGGATCATGCTCGGATCGGTTCCGCATTGTAAATGGGGTGTCACCTGTTTTTCGTGCATGTGCGGTCGACGGAATTCCATTGTGATTTGCAACTGTAGGATCGTTCCCGCATTGTAAATGGGGTTGCAAGTGGTGCTGGTGGATGAGGTGCTGATAGAATTCCATTGTGATTTGCAACTCTAGGATCGTTCCCTCACTGTAAATGGGATTGCAAGTGGTGCTGGTGGAGGAGTTGCCGATAGAGTTTTGGAGGAAGTCTCGCACAAAATGCGTTTTTGAGAGATAGCAGATGCACGAAACCCTATGTTTTTCCATACAAAGTCCGTCCCCGAACCTCGATGATCTACCTCTGCGGTGCGACGGTTGCGAGACGGTCTCGTGTGTGGTCGGATCATGCTCGGATCATGCTCGGATTGGTTCCGCATTGTAAATGGGGTTTCAACTGTTTTTCGTGCATGTGCGGTCGACAGAATTCCATTGTGATTTGCAACTGTAGGATCGTTCCCGCATTGTAAATGGGGTTGCAAGTGGTGCTGGTGGATGAGTTGCTGATGGAATTCCATTGTGATTTGCAACTGTAGGATCGTTCCCGCAATGTAAATGGGATTGCAAGTGGTGCTGGTGGATGAGTTGCCGATGGAATTCCATTGTGATTTGCAACTCTAGGCTCGTTCCCGCAATGTAAATGGGATTGCAAGTGTTGCTGGTGGATGAGTTGCCGATGGAATTCCATTGTGCTTTGCAACTGTAGGATCGTTCCCGCAGTGTAAATGGCTGTGTCAAGGTTGCTTCGTGCTGTGGCTGCATTGGGAATACTATTGTCTTTTGGAGCTGGACTTCGTAAATCGTATTGGAGTGGCTGCATGAAGGCTGCGACAGTGATTTGTCATCAGATTTTCTCTATTTTGGGGCTAGTGATTTTCCTTCTAAAAATCCTTTTAAAAAGTGCTTCAAAATCGTCTTTTTTTCGCTCTGGCGTCGAGATCCGGTTTTGGAGCTGCAATTTCCGACGCCGTTGCGCGTAGTTCTATTGTGTTTTGCAACTCAGTCTCTGCAGATCGCAATGTAATGGCTGCGTCAAGGTTGCTTCGTGCTGTGGCTGCATTCGTAATACTATTGTCTTTTGCAGCTGGATCTCGGAAATCGTCTTGGAGTGGCTGCATGAAAGTTGCGACACGGACTGGTTAGCAGATTTTCTCCATTTTGGCACTAGTGTTTTTCTGTTGCACATAGGTTTAGAGCAGTGTGAAGTGTGGGGCGTGAAGAGTGCAGTGTGAAGTGTGAAGTGTGAAGGAAGCAGTGGGAAGTGAGAAGTGTGAAGCGTGGAATGTGAAGTGTGAAGTGTGGAGTGTGAACTTTAAGTTTGGAGTGCGAAGAGCGCAGTGTGAAGTGTGAAGTGTGAAGTGTGAAGTGTGAAGTGTGAGGTTTGGAGTGTGAAGGAAGCAGTGAGAAGTGAGAAGTGTGAAGTGTGGACTGTGAAGTGTGAAGTGTGGAGTGTGAAGTGTGAAGTGTGGAGTGTGAAGTGTGAAGTGTGCATGGAGTGTGAAGTTTGAAGTTTGGAGTGCGAAGAGCGCAGTGTGAAGTGTGGAGTGTGGAGTGTGAAGACTTTGCTTCGTCTCTCGCTGAAAAAAAACGGTTGTCGAGGGAAGGACACGGTCGGGACAGGTTGTCTTTGAACTATAGGTCATTTATTTTTGGGAAACTTCCGCCGCCGGCTTGCCCGGGTCTATGTTATTGTGGTTGTTAAGAATCATGGCAATGCACCGTAAAGGGGATGTTTATGGAGAAAGGAACGCCGTTTTTGTGACCAAACAATTGTTGCTGGCCCCTAGAAATGAGTTGGGGATGAAGATAGTACAATTTTTCGTCTTGGGCAAAGTGTTTGAATCAGTAAAGCTGTCCTTTTCTTCGTGGCTCGTTTGTAAAATCAGTAAAGCAGAACTGCGACTGCGACTGCGGCCAGGATTGGCGCGGTGGACGTTGCGCATCGGAGAACATCATCCCATCTTCCACCGGAGCTGCCAAGGCTGTTGGCAAGGTGATCCCAACGATGAACGGCAAGCTGACGGGGATGGCCTTCCGAGTGCCCACCCCTGATGTGTCCGTGGTGGATTTGACATGCCGTCTGGAGAAGTCTGCCACCATGGACGACATCACCAGTGCGATTAAGAAGGCTGCTGAAGGCCTGACATGCAATTGGAAGACCGTATATGCGGATCACAGTTGAAGACAATACTGTATATAAACGATGTCTCAACAAAACCATGTATATAACATTACATACATACAGACATACATACATGCATGCATGCATGCATACATACCTACATACCTGCATACCTACATACCTACATACCTACATACCTACATACCTACCTACCTACATACCTACATACCTACATACCTACATACCTACAGACAGACGGACGGACGGACGGACCGACGGACGGACGGACAGACGGACAGACGGACAGACGGACAGACGGACAGACGGACAGACGGACAGACGGACAGACGGACAGACGGACAGACGGACAGACGGACGGACAGACGGACAGACGGACAGACGGACGGACAGACGGACAGACGGACAGACGGACAGACGGACGGACGGACGGACGGACAGACAGACAGACAGACATACATACATACATACATACATGATATACACATACATGTACATTTAACAACATGCTTTTAGACGTTGAAAATGATGAAGTCTCCAAATGGCTTCATTTTTTCATTTTTTTGGGATAAGATTGACCCCTAATATCCCATGCCCATGTCTCTTGGTGAGTTCTGCAGCTTGCAGGCCCAATGAAAGGCATCCTAGGCTTCACGGATCAGGAGGACCAGCTCCTAATGCCTTGTCGATGGATGTTTATACATGGTTCTCAAAGACTGGGGGACCTACAAAACCCACCAAGGTCCTATATTTTGATGTTGACGTGTTGTTTTTTTCCATTTCTTTGGGGTTCCCCCATTTTTGAGAAGCATCAAACTCTGCAGAGTTGCGTATGCTGTCGCTCCTGTTTCAGTTGACAAAAATTCAAACTGCAGGTCGTGTCAACTGACTTTGTCACCTGCGCCTACTCTTCGATTTTCGTGCCTGGCTTAGATTCTGCAAATCACAGATCTCTTGCCTGACACAAAAGTGGGGAATGAATGTAAGCTGGACCGAAAGAGTGAGGGTGCATTCATGTTCAAACATCAACAAACTAAATTAGTTGTCATTGTTCGTAGTATATGATGTTCTGTGCTTCAAAAATTACTCCAGACACGGTACCTAATTTCGAACCATGGCCGTCAGCCACAGGACAAGACGGCCTGCATCGCCTTGAACGACAAGTTTGTGAAGTTGGTCTCCTGGTATGCCGCAGTCTTAGAGATCAGTAGCAAGGTATGGGTTTGTCGGTTTGTCAAACGGTTTGTCCAAGTTCATAGGGTAGCAATAAACGGACTCATCCCATCTTCATGGATCTAAAGGGTTCATATTGATCTTGATCATCACCCCAGGACAATGAGTGGGGCTACTCTAACCGCTTGGTGGATTTGGCCGTCCACATGTCACAGGCGACACAGCTGGGTTGTGTGTGCTGGATGTTTGGAAATGGTTCGAAGAGAAAATCTCACGATGATATGGTGTCACGGTGGAATGGCTCAACATTTTGGGCTTTGCGACCAGATTGCAGATCTTTTGTTTGTTCACATGCGGCTTTGCATGTGCCCATTTGCCAGGTGGATGGCGTCATTCCACCACCAGCCAAGATTCAGAGCATCAAGGCACTCCGAAAAATACATGACTCATGACATTTATGTGTGAACATTATTTTTGAAGATGTTATTTTTGTGAGAACAATCTGTAAATGTATAGAGTGAATATATTCATGACAATTCATGACAATTCAGGTTTACTGTATCTATTTCTATCTACACATGAATCCGCTGCATTGAATTTATGTTACCAAGCTGTGATTCCACCTTATTTCTTTTGCGAGAACACGTTCTTTTGGGTTTTCCTTTCGTGGATTTGCATTGCTACTGATGGTTCAGTGCACCCTGGAAGTGAAGATGCTGTTTTGCTTTCTCGTGTGATCTGACACTGCTGAGTAATGCTTCCTGGCATTTCAGGCACGTGAGATCTTCGATTCTCGAGGCAACCCCACCGTAGAGGCCCGGGCCGCCAAAAAATGACACATCATAATGACGATGCTGACGATGATAATCATGGACGATGATGATCATGATGACGACGACATACTATGATCATGATGGTGTTTGCTGGTCCCACTGAGGTTGACCTCGTGACCAATGTGCTTTCCTCAGCTCATTTCGAAGAACGTTTAGTGCCAAAAAGATATGAAACACATGCTACGATGTGGTAGATGGATCTAAAAAAGGTTTTTTTCATGAATAGATTGAATAGACTTGACGTATCTGACGTCGACGTCCAAAATTTCTTCCATTCGTTGAATTTGCTTCGAAAGCTCGGACACTTTGAGCCTCGGTTTGGCGACTCCGAGGATCACCTCTTCCGTGCAGCTGTCCCCAGCGGAGCATCCACTGGCATTTACGAGGCCATTTCCATTTTCGAGTCTGGAGCCTGAACATCCCATCTCAAGGGGTATGTCTTTTTGCATCTTTTTGCACATTTTACTCTCTGTTCGTTTGTTGGTTGGTTGGTTGATTTGTTTGTTTGCTTGCGTGTTTATGAACTTGCATAATATGTCATACGAATACGAATATGCATATATATATAATGCACATCTGTATAATATATATATAATGTATATATGTATAATATATATATATATATATGTGTATAATGTATATATATATATATATATGGATAGTATATATGTATATATATATGTATATGTATATATGTATATATATATGTATAATATATATATACATATATATGTAATATATATATATATGTATAATAAATATATATGTATAATATATATATGTATATATATATATATGTATAATATATATATATATGCATAATATATATATATGCATAATATATATATATGTATAATATGAATATATATATATATACGTATAATATAGATATATATATATATATATATCATATGTAAATATCTATAATATATGTCTATATGTATAATATATGTATATATGTATATGTATAAAATATCTCTATATGTATAATCTATATATATATAATATGTATATATGTATAATATATATAATATGTATATATGTATAATATATATATATATGTATAATATATATATATATGTATAATATATATATATATATGTATAATATATATAATACATATATGTATAATATATATATGTGTATATGTATAATATATGTCGATATGTACAATATATATATATGTATAATATATGTATATATGTATAATATATATATATATGTATAATATAGTATATATATATGTATGTATGTATGTATGTATGTATGAATGAATGAATGAATGAATGAATGAATGAATGATATATATATATATATGCATTATACGTGTATATATATATATATTATCATGTACATACACATGTGTGCATTACATATTTTAGACATATCATGCAGATATTTGTTGGGACCGGGGAAGCGCCCTGGCCTTTGTTGAGACTCCAGGCCCTGGAGCTTCGAGACGGAGAGCCGAAGAGATTGCTCGGAAAAGGTGTCCTGAAGGTCCCTTCTGTCTTATGATGTCAAAATGTTAGGATGGTAGTGTCCAGGGGCATGATGATGATGATGATGATGACGATGACGATGACGATGACGTCGTGCCATTAATTTTTTTCTCTATCACCGTCCTTGATTCTTCTCCCCTTTGGAGCTGCGATACTCATGTCATGATCATGGTCAGGCCGTCCAGAACGTCAACGAAAGGATCGCACCAGCTCTGGTTGGCATGGATGTCACAAAGCAGAAAGAAATCGACAAGATGATGGTCGAGCTGCTGGACGGCACGCAGAACGACTGGGGTTGGTCCAAGGCCGCAACGCTGGGGATCAATTTTCAGGGGGGAATTGGCACTTGAGGGGTCGAGGATTGAGGATTTTTTCAGGCGTCGAAGACTTTTTTTCTCTGAATTTCAATGACAGGCTGACTGCTTGATGATATGATCAACGTACAGTTTGGCAAATCGTTGGCTGATTGATATATCAACTCTTGCGCAGAAGAGAGACGACACACACACACATGCCTTGGACTGACTTGTCACCTTGTCCCTTTCTTGAATAATTTCTTAGCTCCGACATCTACTCGTACCCATTAATTTTCATTTTATGATACATACACACACACATCTATACACGTACACAATCTCTGTGTATGTATATATATATATATTATATATATATGTATACGTATACATATCACATCACTGAGTCTCTATTTGTATACATTCGTAATCCACTTGTATAAATATATATATATAATTATATATATATTAATCCACATATATGTACATATATATATATATACAGATTTACATATACACATTATCCATCAACACACTCCAAACAAATCTGGCCAGTCCAGCCTTGGAGCCAATGCCATCCTTGCTGTGTCTATGGCTGTTTGCCGAGCTGGTGCAGCGTCCATGGAGATGTCCAAGCCTTGGATATTCCTTGGGAATATGTTTGAAAACCTCATCTGAGATAGAATCTCTACTTCAGTATGATTATAGATGTTTTTTTTGTGTGTACATCTATATAGATGTATATCCGTATGTATATGTACAGAGCTATTGGGATGTTATAGGGGTGATATGGGAATGATATAGGGAAGAGATACACAGTAGATCTCTCTATAAGTGTATACACTAGATCTGGCAGTGGCCGTTGACAAATGTTGACAAGAGCCCATAGATTTTCTCCTCGCTTTGCGTTGGAGATTTGAGGCCTTTGTACCAGTACCTTTCATGCCTGTCCGGCAGACCCACGGATTCCTACGCCGGCGTGCCCAGCATTTGCTCAGCATTGCCCAAGATGCAGATGTGGGGGTGCAGTTACGCAGTTCGACTTATCAAAGAATATATATTTCAACAATTTTCAACATAGTTTTTGGGGTGATGTCCCAACTTATGGGGATTATCCCATAGTTACAATAGTATACAATAGTTAATACCCATTAACTTAACCATTAAGAGATCATCCCAGTCCTGCGAGGTGATGCCGGTGCCTTCCTTCAACGTCATCAATGGTGGCAGCCACGCGGGTAATCGCTTGGCATGCCAGGAGACCGTAGGTCCGACCGTAGGTCCGACGTAGACAGTCCGACAGGTTCTGAAGTTCTGCTGGGAACCTTGCTGCAGGAGTTCATGATTCTGCCAGTGGGCGCCAAGTCCTTCAAAGAAGCGCTGTGCATTGGGTGCGAGGTTGGCGCAATTTGGTCCGATCCGTTTTGTTGCGTTTTTCCCACTCGTTGGGATCGAACTCGGCCAGGTTTACCATTCGTTGAAGAGCTGCATCAAGAAGAAGTACGGACAGGCCTAGTGGCCGACGTCGACTTTGATACCCACGTGCCTCCAGTTTCTTGTTTGGAAACCAAGGACGCGTGCAACGTCGGAGATGAGGCTCGCGAAGTGTCACAATCTGAAAATTGGGTGCGAAGTGGTGTCCAAATCCACCAAAATCAGTGCTCTGGTCCTGGTGTCAAACTATGAGATCTTCAAGGCATTGTCCCTGTGTAATTTGTGCAATTTCAATCGGCAGGGCGGATTTGCACCATCTGTGCAAGACAACAACGAGGCTCTGGAGCACCAGATGGCTTCAAAAAATGGGGTATTTACCAACGATTTACCCAATAGATGAGCACATGGGATTGCAATGGCTACCGGTACCCAAATTTCAAATCCACATGGAAATGATAGGACCAGTATCCAGTATAGGGTGTATAGTATAGGGTGCACCATGTAGAATCCAATGGTTTCTCAACAAGTATGGAACAGCTAAGAAAACATTGGGGGTCATCCAGCTGCTGACAGCCCAGATGAGCCCAGATGGCGGCTTGAGGCTCTTGATGTTCTCATGGATGCCATTGAGAAGTCGGGGCACAAGGACAAGGTGCCACGACCGGTGGAGTGATGTAGTGGATTTGTTCATTCCGGGCTTCCCCTAAATGGGGGCTGCCCATTATAATTGGGGAGGTGCTTTGTCAACCCCGAATGTGGATGGTTAAGTACTAAAGATGGCATCTTTTGTGAGTTCATGGTTGCCCCAATGGCTTGACGCAAACCTAAATACGTCAGGTGAAAATCGGTACGGATGTCGCTGCGTCCGAGTTCTGCAAGGACAGCTGGGGGCTTGACAGCATTGCTTCGGCTCTCTCTTCGTTCTAGAAAGCTACGAATGGTTTCTCATGATTTTGCTCATTGCCCTTGCTTTTCTTTTACGTTGGAGCCTTCAAGAATCGTCTTTTTTATTGTTTGTTTGTGTTGTTGCTTCAGTCTCCAAATTTCTTGTTGACGGATTGCTATCTATTTGCTGTATCCAAAGGAACTTGCCACGAAGCGTGTGGACTGCATGTCATATGATATTTCTGCAGTATAGAAAGCCCAAGCCGAAGCAGCGCTGGCATCATGGCAAAGCAGGCCTTGCCCACCATCCTCCTGTTGTCCTTGGCACGCCTTGCATTCTCTTGGAATACATTGTGTGCCTGGGTCCCAATCCCCATGCAGCATGAAGTTGAAGGCTGCACAGACTACAGGGGAGACAGTTTCATTTCAGTGGCTGGAAGTGAAGGTTGTGCCAGCTGGTGCAGCTGGGTCCCTGTGCTTGCTTGGCACTATCCAGATGGTTGTGCGTTTTGCGGCAGGAACGTGGGGCAAATGGCTGGTGTCACGGAGAAAGAGTCAGCACGTGAAATTGTTGAAAAGCCAGACACAGTGGGAGAACAAACCTTGCGATCAAAGAGCCACACTACTGCCGCAAGTTGGTGCAAGTGGGTGCCCCATGGAGCATTGAAACATGTCAGAAACTGTCAGAGTGTTGAAGCCAAGAGCTTGCCTGTGATGGCTGGCTGTGAAGAGTGGTGCCAATGGATTCCGGAACCTGCTTGGCGAAATCCTCGGGGTTGCCGCAGGTGTTCCCAGTCCGAAATCATTCCGTGATGCAAGGCTCATCTTCGGGTTCTTCGGCGTGGCATTTGTTCATGCATTTTTTTCGTACCAATTTGAAATTGAAGTCCAAGTGATTTCAGAATACACTCATGGCAACAGCTGCTGGCACAGCACTTGGAGTTGCCAATGCATGAGTCGCTTTTGACATGCCTAAGGCGTGTGTACGACCAGAATTAGATGCTGTTTCAAGCCTTGATGGCTGTGCCTAGACAGAAAGGCTGGGCGGCTCAGCGAGCCAGAAAGAGAGAGAAAAAATGATAAGACATGGATGGGTCGGGGTTTGATCAGAAGGCTGAACCGTGATTTTTTGACCGTCTCTTGGACCGATGATCGGCTGGCAACACCGAATGGAAGATATGAAAGGACCGTGATTTGGACAGATTTGATTTTAGCACGTTATAGAACTGAAGGATATGCATTGGTCGAGGCAACATTGCAATTTTTGGGGCTGGAGCACTGCTCAGAAACACCGTTTCAATTGACAGGTCAGTTCAGTGAGGCCAGGTTTCTGCAAGTTTTGGAACAGGATGTTGCGTGATTCAGTGTGTCAGCTTCTTGCAAGGAGGGAGGCAAGTACGACTTGGACTTTAAGAATCCTGATAGCAAGCCTGCAGACTGGAAGTCTGGAAGTGCTTGCCTAAAATGCCAAACTTGTCTGACTGTTTGTCCTATGCGAGACGTGCCAACAGATCAACAGATTCTCCTGAGGCGAGATGGCCGACTACTACCAGGCGAAAGAGTTTTGCCATCAACTTTTGCGGCAATGATCCAATTTTGTATATAAGTATCTGTGTATATATATATACATATGTACACATACACACCTACACTTTAAATGCGTATGTAGACTTCTTATCTCTATTGTAGGCTCAGCCTTCATGGAGGGTCCAACGTTGCTTGAGAGGCCTGGTTTAGCAAGTATCCCTTCGTCTCCATCGAGGACGCTTCCGCAGGTTGTTTGCTTCTTGGCCCATGTTATTTTTATGTCTATTTTTCTGCGTGGGGATGAAACATGACTACAAATGACGCAGGACCCCTTCGACCAGGATGACTGGGCAGCCTATGCCGAGTTCAACAAAAAGTGTGGCAAGGACGCTGCAGTTGAGGTTTCAAGAAACGAAATTGTGGAACATTTGCAGGAAATTGATGCAAAGCCTATAGTTGTATGTCAAAACTAGGGTTTCCTGTAGATTTTCCCTTTTGAAAAGCATAGAAAAGCACTCCATAGTGATCCTTTTGGATTCAGAGCCTGGCTGTCTCCAGGATGTCCAGATTGTTGGTGATGATTTGTCAAGTCCTTACTACCGGCACTACGGCGTTCAAAATCTGGGGGATCTTCATGGATCCTTCTGGCTGTCCAAGCTGGGGACCTTCATTTTTTCTTACGAAAGGATGAGGATTGGTAGCTTTTCAGCAGCTTTTCAGCATCCTCCCATTGACCCAACTGGGAAAATGGGGCCCTGGGGCCCGCTTGAGGCTGGTGACCAACACCAAGCGCATTGAGAAGGCCCTGGAAGTTGGAGTACGACAGCCCAGGGGTCTGGTCGTAGGTTTGCGCCAGCGAAAATAGCTGGGCTTTAACCAACAAAAATGGGGGGTGAAGCAGCAAACACTGGGATTTGAAGCAGCAAACATGGCGGTTTAGCTGAGAACTGGGGTTTAATCAAGAATCCAGTCATGATTTGACAACGGGACTAATGATTTTCCCATTTGACTGGAGGATGAACTTCATGAAAAGCCAGCCACCTACTCTGATGTAAAAGCCAAGGGATTCCACTTTCCAGGGTTTTAATCCATAGCCAAATAGTAGTTACTACCAGAGATACAAACGTTGGGGTCGGAACAGCACAAGCAACAGGGCCCCTTCAGCTGTCATCCCTTACACCAGTGCTGTGACCAAGGCATGCAATGCTTTGCTCCTGAAGGCTGTGATCCGAGGGGTTGCAAGCATCGTTTGACCATCTGATCATTGGTGTGTTTCGCTCCTGGATGTGAAGCTTTGAGGTGAATCAAATTGGATCAATCACAGAAGCAATTGATGCTGCAAACATGTGGAAGGCTTAGTCCAGAGAGCCTGCAGAGAGTGGTGCCTTGTTCAACTGTGCTGCCATGTCCGACCATGAGGTCTATGCAAAATGGTTGGGGAGTCATGGTCTCCCACCGTTCTGGAGAGACGGAGGCTCCATCGGCACCCCTAGCTGCATGCCTATTTAGAGTGTTGGTGCATGCCGGCATGCCGCACGTGCCAGGACTCCTTCATTGCAGATTTGGTTGTGGGGCTCCGCACAGGCGAGGGTCGCAACCATCAGAACACCAGAGGGTGGAGCTGAAAACAGCATTGGTCCTGGAGGTCAAATTAAGACTGGTGCGCCTTGCCGAAGTGAGCGTTTGGCCAAGTACAATCAGTCGAAGCCCGAGAAAGAGTGCAGTTTCATTCTGAATTGGTTGTTTGGGGTCCCGAAATCATATGGGCCATGGGCATATGTCGACCATCTTAGTTGAATCAATTGAGTCCTCAAGATGACCAGCCAGCTATGTGGCTTCAGACTGCCGCATTGGCTTGGTGTCCGGATCAAATGAGGCTCCTCCGAATCGAGGAAGAGCTGGGCTCAAAGGCAGGCTTTGGCATCTTTTTTCGCGTTTGATGAGTCAAGAGCTTGCTTTGTGCAGGCCATTTATGCTGGAGAGAGCTTCCGCTACCCAACTGTCTGAGTCGGGCCATGTAGTTCCAACCGTTGTGGGGTGCTAGAGCGGCAATGGTCGCGAGAGGACGAGGCCCTCCATGCCCAAGAGCTTCATTGTCGCATCCTGTAGGTTTGGACATCATGTAATTACTTAAAGATTTACAAAGAAATGATGAATGGGCTGGAGTGACCACCCCACCAAGCCATTTTGAGTTGATGGCGCCTGACCTGCCAATCACTTGCCTTGATTATTTGGATTCTGTGGCTGCGTGCACTTTTCAAGAAGAAACAGAGCGTGAGGAGTGTCTCTGGTTTGCTCGGTCTAGAAGTGTTCCAATGGCCACCCAAATTTTGAAAGCCCCAGTTGATCGGTGCATTTCTGGATGCCGCAGAAGAGTGCTACTCAGCAGTCAGATGCTGGAATCAAAGTAAACATGAAGGCAGAACAGAACCTGAAAGCTAGGGTTGCGCTGACAGCAGAAGCCACTTCTTACAGATAAATGTGGTCCGATTGCTTCTCCACAGGGGTGTGACATACACGAGTACATCTTGTGGAACGTTTTTCTTTTTACGTCATTGCTGAACGAAACACTTGCTCAACACATCTCAACACTGTGTTGCAGTTGGCAAATGCTCAACATCCTTCTGTCATCGTTGCAGTCAACGAACATGAGCAAACGTCGCAAAGCCACCGCTGTGCCTCATTTATCAGCGGCGGGTGCTACCTTGGAGGTGCCATCACTTGGGTTTGTCTGAGCAATCCAGTGGCTTAAGGCTCATTTTCCTCATTAGCACAGTCATTTTTGTGCAAACGCATGTCATCATGAAATATCCGGTGAAGTCTCGTTTGAAATATCCCCCATTGGCCTGGGGGGTTTTCCCCCCCATGACAAAGCGTGGTGGTCCAGGCCTTTCACCAGGCGTTTGCGGCGCAGCAGCTGGTTTTTGTGCAGTGTGCGGCCTCAGCACCAGGCTGTCCAAAAAACTGGCTTTCTTACGTGGAAGATGGAGCTATCGTCCCATCCCCCGATCCATCCGACCCTACACATAAAAAAGTCCCAAGGATGTGGATTTTTTCTACTAAACCATGGTTTCTAGGGTTTAATATTAGGATATTAGGGGAAGGGATTAGTAATTTCAGGGAAAAACGAGGTTTTACTAGCCCGTGGATTTTGAGGTACCCTATTTTCAGATCGACCCAAATAATTGATTCCATTCAGATCCATTCAGATGTGCCTGCCACTCAGGCAGGATGCTTCCAGACGTTTCGGTGTTGCTGGAAGGTGCCTGCACGTTTTGGCGTTGTGAACAATTTTTTCCGCTTGCTCTTCCCTCATGACTTCGAGGCAGATTGGTCTTTCAACACTCCGGCGGATATTCACTGTACGCTGCTCAGGGCCACAGCTTTGTTTTACGCAAGAGCTGTGGACTTGAAATTGGGAGTGTTTGAAAATGGGAGATATCCCCAGAACATCCCAAAACGGCAATGTTTGTTGGCAACATGATGAAGCGATTTGGGACGCACCCTATTTCGACCAGTTGTGCTTCCAGGAACTTCACTGTCCCTTCTGCAGCTGTTTGGAGGGTTCGAAAAAATCTTGCGGCCAAAGCCTTTCCATCGGCTCTTTTCCATTCCTTGCTGCTGGACTTTGTTATTGTGCAGGCATACCTTTGCAGGCAAACCTTCTCACAGAAAACGGAAAGAACATGCATCACTACAAATCTTGAATGTGGTACTTTGCTTGAGGTTATCGCATGGCTTCACTTTGCAGAGTTGCCACCATTTATTCAGTCTTCCTTGCTGCCCGTGGGCGTCCTCGCCTCAGGTTGTGATGTTGTGAGAATTTGACTTGTTGCGTGACAGCAATGCATTCGAGGAGAAAACTGTGAAGCAGACTCCTTGGAGACCATCGAAGAATTGGAACAGCGAGAAGCTGCAGAACCTTGGACCTTTCAATGCCATGCTGCAATGCTCTGCTTCGTAATGTCTTGGGCAAATTGGCAACTGATGGCAACTGTTCACCTTGACCACCCGAACCACCCGAACTTGTTTTAAGATGACAGCCAGCTCTGAAGTTTGGAGCCAGGAAGTGAACGTGGAATTGCTCCAGACAGCGCTGTCTGTAGCTCGGCTGCAACTCGTGCAAACGAACAAGGCGATGTGAGTGGCTGGTACTGGTAGGCTGGTAGTTGTCAGGGGCTTCATAAGGACAAGTGACCAGTGGCTAAACATTGATGGGTCCTTGCAGGTGGGCAAACTGGAACAGAAGACGCAGGAGTTCTATGCCCCTACTTGGTGCTACACCATTCCCGCAACTCAGCGTTTGAGAAGATTCTGCATTTTCATGTACCCGTGTGCAAATTTGCGAAGAAACTTGAGGTAAATGCACATTTTGGGTGGACTAAGGAGTACAGCCGAGCCAGCATTGGAGCGTGCAATGGCGGTGCTGGATCTTGCATTTGCATGGGTCCTCAAGTGTGCGGTTCCTGGGGTCCATTTCCTATGGGAACCTGGCAATCCTATACTTCTGCCTGCTGTGGTTGCGTTCCTGCACCCCCTGTAGCCCCAGTGGCTGCAGCTGCTCCAGTGGCTGCCCCAGTGGCCGCTGCCCCAGTGGCAGCACCAGTGGCCGCTCCAGCTGCAGCAGCTGCCACAACTGACAGCCAGTGCGCAGTTCACAAAGGATGCGCGGATCTGAAGCTGGCAGGTACATGCTGCCCAGCTGCCGATGGCACCTACTTAGGGTGCTGTGATGTTTCAGCGTTGGAGGAGAATGTAACCCTAGCTCAGCTGACGGTTAAGACCAACAACATCCCTGCGTGGTGCTCTAGCCTTCCTGAAACTGAGAGATCGAAAGCTGACGCTCGGCCGCAAACATCTTATTCAGCAAGGCCTTCTTTCATAAATCTTCAGCATGTCCAGAGTCTGGAGTCTTGCTAATCAGTTTTTTCATCGAGTCAGTATGAACAAGGGATTAGAACTCTGGAACAGTCACCGTCCTGGATATGATGCTCCTAAAATTTGGTAGATCTTTCAACTGGCCGCAAGCAGTAGCCCTTGCAGCAACTAAGCCGCCATGCACGGGCAATGGACCAGCAAGCTGCATGTGCCTGAGCAAGAGCGCGTGTGGTGAGGGTGCTCCTGCTCCAGGAAGTGAACAGCTCAGTAAAGGGTCTTGGCGTGATGTTTGTCTGAAAATAGGTGGATACAGTGAGAAATGATAAATAGCCATGTGAATAGGGAAACATGATAATCCATCGGAATTAGAGATACTCTATGTGCAGACAAAACAGTATGTCGAATCTGATATTTGTTGTTGGTCTTGTGATTGAACTGGGTGGCTTGAAGATATCATAATACTTATCAGCCAACCTATTGCTTTGTATATAGTGCCAACGCTACTTCGAGCTACTTCGACGGTCTGAGGTTGGCAGGCACTTTCAACAGCATGCTGTGGTTGCCAGTGACTCTGTAAATTTTGGCTGGCCGAGATTGCTTTTTATCAATCCCATCGCCAAGGAGCACGGTAGAAAAGTGCGGACGCGTCCAGAGAGAGGGGATACTGCAATCATTAACGACTGAAATCGATGAGTATCCCACTATCCCATGCTATTAAATATCAATGATATACTAAAGTCATTTTAATCAATAATATGGGATACTGGGATACTCATATATTAAACCCAGTATCAGCATGGAAAGATCATCCATCGATACGCTCAGTGCCTTGAGGCGTATCCTGCAGTTGTGCGTCAGCAACTGAGTGGGGAAAACCAAGTCACTTGGGTTGTAGCATCAGCGTGTTTTTTTTTTTTACTTAGGCAGAAAGCAGGTAGCATGAGATTTCTTGCATGCAGTGAAACATGATCAACATTTCTTTTTTAAACGATGATCTGATTATTATGAAGTATCATCTCCACTGTCCACTAGTATAATTGACACTATTGTTATTATGTCTATGTATATAATTGTTCTTATTTATCTCTATCATTATTTATTATGATCATGATCATGGTGGGGATAGGTCAAATCCCTGTACCTCTGGTAAACATCAAAAACAGATAAACCAATCTGGTAAATGGCTGTTCATCCCCCTATCAATGGTAATTCATAAAGAGGTATTGATCCATGGCCTTATCATTATTGTTACTAATTGTTACCGTTGTATCGTTATGTATTGTTACTATCATTATTCCTAATCATCAAAGGAAGTTTAGGGGGAGAAACTTCCGTGTTACGGACTTTTAGAATGTCAGGGAAAGAGTTAGTCAAAGAAAGAGTTAGTGAGAGAAAGAGTTAGTTAGAGAAAGAGTTCATCAGGGAAAGAGTTAGTCAAAGAAAGAGTTAGTTAGAGAAAGAGTTCATCAGGGAAAGAGTTAGTCAAAGAAAGAGTTAGTGAGAGAAAGAGTTAGTGAGAGAAAGAGTTAGTTAGAGAAAGAGTTCATCAGGGAAAGAGTTAGTCAAAGAAAGAGTTAGTGAGAGAAAGAGTTCATCAGGGAAAGAGTTAGTCAAAGAAAGAGTTAGTGAGAGAAAGAGTTAGTTAGAGAAAGAGTTAGTTAGAGAAAGAGTTCATCAGGGAAAGAGTTAGTCAAAGAAAGAGATAGTGAGAGAAAGAGTTCATCAGGGAAAGAGTTAGTCAAAGAAAGAGTTAGTGAGAGAAAGAGTTAGTGAGAGAAAGAGTTATTTAGAGAAAGAGTTCATCAGGGAAAGAGTTAGTCAAAGAAAGAGTTAGTGAGAGAAAGAGTTAGTGAGAGAAAGAGTTAGTCAAAGAAAGAGTTAGTGAGAGAAAGAGTTAGTGAGAGAAAGAGTTAGTTAGAGAAAGAGTTCATCAGGGAAAGAGTTAGTCAAAGAAAGAGTTAGTGAGAGAAAGAGTTCATCAGGGAAAGAGTTAGTCAAAGAAAGAGTTAGTGAGAGAAAGAGTTAGTGAGAGAAAGAGTTAGTTAGAGAAAGAGTTCATCAGGGAAAGAGTTAGTCAAAGAAAGAGTTAGTGAGAGAAAGAGTTCATCAGGGAAAGAGTTAGTCAAAGAAGAAAGAGTTAGTGAGAGAAAGAGTTAGTTAGAGAAAGAATCAGGGAAAGAGTTAGTCAAAGAAAGAGTTAGTGAGGGAAAGAGTTAGTCAGGGCATTGTGATTTGCAACTGTAGGATTGTTCCCGCAATGCAAATGGGATTGCAAGTGGTGCTGCTGGATGAGTTGCCGATGGAGTTTTGAAGGAAGTCTCGCACGAAATGCGTTTTTGAGAGATAGCAGATGCACGAACCCCTATGTTTTTCCATACAAAGTGCGTCCCCGAACCTCGATGATCTACCTCTGCGGTGCGACGGGTGCGAGACGGTCTCGTGTGTGGTCGGATCATTCTCGGATATGTTCGGATCATTCTCGGATCGGTTCCGCATTGTAAATGGGGTGTCAACTGTTTTTCGTGCATGTGTGGTCGACAGAATTCCATTGTGATTTGCAACTGTAGGATCGTTCCCGCATCGTAAATGGGGTTGCAAGTGTTGCTGGTGGACGAGTTGCTGATGGAATTGCATTGTGGTTTGCAACTTTAGGATCGTTTTTTCACTGTAAATGGCATTGCAAGTGGTGCTGGTGGAGGAGTTGCCGATGGAGTTTTGAAGGAAGTCTCGCACGAAATGCGTTTTTGAGAGATAGCAGATGCACGACGTCACGAAACCCTATGTTTTTCCATACAAAGTCCGTCCCCGAACCTCGATGATCTACCTCTGCGGTGCGACGGTGCGAGACGGTCTCGGTTGGTCGGATTCTCGGATATGGTCGGATCATTCTCGGATCGGTTCCGCATTGTAAATGGGGTTTCAAGTGTTTTTCGTGCATGCGCGGTCGACAGAATTCCATTGTGATTTGCAACTGTAGGATCGTTCCCGCATTGTAAATGGGGTTGCAAGTGGTGCTGGTGGATGAGTTGCTGATGGAATTCCATTGTGATTTGCAACTCTAGGATCGTTCCCTCACTGTAAATGGGATTGCAAGTGGTGCTGGTGGATGAGTTGCCGATGGAATTCCATTGTGATTTGCAAGTCTAGGATCGTTCCCTCCCTGTAAATGGTTGCGTCAAGGTTCCTTCGTGCTGTGGCTGCATTGGTAATACTATTGTCTTTTGCAGCTCGACTTCGTAAATCGTATCGGAGTGGCTGCATGAAGGCTGCCACAGTGATTTGTTGGCAGATTTTCTTCATTTTGGCGCTAGTGAATTTCCTTCTAAAAATTCTTTTAAAAAGTGCTTCAAAATCGTCTTTTTTTCGCTCTGGCGTCGAGATCCGGTTTTGGAGCTACAATTTCCGACGCCGTTGTGCGTAGTTCTATTGTGTTTTGCAACTCAGTCTCTGCAGATCGCATTGTAATGGCTGCGTCAAGGTTGCTTCGTGCTGTGGCTGCATTCGTAATACTATTGTCTTTTGCAGCTGGACTTCGTAAATCGTATTGGAGTGGCTGCATGAAGGCTGCGACAGTGATTTGTCAGCAGATTTTCTCCATTTTGGCGCTAGTGATTTTTCCTTCTAAAAATCCTTTTAAAAAGTGCTTCAAAATCGTCTTTTTTTCGTTTGGCGTCGAGATCCGGTTTTGGAGCTACAATTTCCGACGCCGTTGCGCGTAGTTCTATTGTGCTTTGCAACTCAGTCTCTGCAGATCGCATTGTAATGGCTGCGTCAAGGTTGCTTCTTGCCACGGCTGCATGAATAATACTATTGTCTTTTGCAGCTGGACTTCGTAAATCGTATTGGAGTGGCTGCATGAAGGCTGCGACATTGATTTGTCAGCAGATTTTCTCCATTTTGGCGCCAGTGATTTTCTTTTTAAAAATTCTTTTAAAAAGTGCTTCAAAATCGTCTTTTTTTTCGCTCTGGCGTCGAGATCCGGTTTTGGAGCTACAATTTCCGACGCCGTTGTGCGTAGTTCTATTGTGTTTTGCGACTCAGTCTCTGCGGGGCTGCGTCAAGGTTGCTTGGTGCCGCGGCTGCATGCGCAATACTATTGTCTTTTGCAACTGGACTTCGTAAATCGTATTGGAGTAGGTGCATCAAGGGTTCGACAGTGATTAGTAGTAGTGCTGGGAATTGACTAATGAAAGCTTAATAGATGACATATGAGAAGGGACGAAATGAGAAGAGATGAGCTGGGATAAGGTGAGAAGAGCTCAGATGAGATGAACTGTGGAGTGTGAAGAGTGTAGTGTGAAATGTGGGGCGTGAAGAGTGCAGTGTGAAGTGTGAAGTGTGAAGTTTGGAGTGTGAAGGAAGCAGTGAGAAGTGAGAAGTGTGAAGTGTGGACTGTGAAGATCTGTGAAGTGTGGAGTGTGAAGTTTGGAGTGCAAAGAGTGCAGTGTGAAGTGTGGAGTGTGAAGAGTGCAGTGTGAAGTGTACAGTGTGAAGGAAGCAGTGGGAAGTGAGAAGTGTGAAGTGTGGAGTGTGAAGTTTAAGTTTGGAGTGCGAAGAGTGAGTGTGAAGTGTGAAGTGTGAGGTTTGGAGTGTGAAGGAAGCAGTGAGAAGTGTGAAGTGCAAAGTGAGAAGTGTGAAGTGTGAAGTTGCGAAGTGGAGTGTGAAGTTTGGAGTGTGAAGGAAGCAGTGAGAAGTGTGAAGTGCGAAGTGAGAAGTGTGAAGTGTGAAGTTTGGAGTGTGAAGTTTGGAGTGGGAAGGAAGCAGTGAGAAGTGAGAAGTGTGAAGTGTGGACTGTGAAGTGTGGAGTGTGAAGTGCGAAGTGAGAAGTGTGAAGTTTGGAGTGTGAAGGAAGCAGTGAGAAGTGAGAAGTGTGAAGTGAGAAGTGTGAAGTGTGGACTGTGCAGTGTGGAGTGCGAAGAGCGCAGTGTGAAGTGTGAAGTGTGAGTGAAGTGTGGAGTGTGAAGTGCGAAGTGAGAAGTGTGAAGTGTGAGTTTTGGAGTGTGAAGTTTGGAGTGGGAAGGAAGCAGTGAAGAAGTGAAGAAAGTGTGAAGTGTGGAAGTGTTTGGAGTGTGGAGTGTGAAGTGCGAAGTGAGAAGTGTGTTTGGAGTGTGAAAGTGGAAGTGAAGTGTGAAGTGTGAAGTGTGAAGTTTGGAGTGTGAAGGAAGCAGTGAGAAGTGTGAATGTGGAGTGTGAAAGTGTGTGAGTGTGAAGTGTGAAGTGTGAAGTGCGAAGTGAGAAGTGTGGACTGTGAAGTGTGAAGTGTGAAGTGTGGACTGTGAAGTGTGAAGTGTGAAGTGTGGACTGTGAAGTGTGAAGTGTGTGTGTGAAGTGTGAAGTGTGAGGTTTGGAGTGTGAAGGAAGCAGTGAGAAGTGAGAAGTGTGGAGTGTGAAGTGTGGAGTGTGAAGTTTGAAGTTTGGAGTGCGAAGAGTGCAGTGTGCAGTGTGAGGTGTGGAGTGTCGAGGGAAGGACACGGTCGGGACAGGGTGTCTTTGAACTATAGGTCATTTATGTTTGGGAAACTTCCGCCGCCGGCTTGCCCGGGTCTATGTTAATTCTTATTGTTACTAATCAATAACTGTTATCATCAGTGTTTCTTATCGTTATTTCTAAAGAAACTGTCCCTGGACCCTGTGCAGCGTCCATGTGATTCGACTCGCCCAAGGCAGGGCCTTCAGTCTGGAGTGTCGTGGCTCCCTTCCGGCGCATGAGGATCCTCTGGTGCAGCTGCTGGCGGCCAAAGCTCCAGAAGGTCGGCCACAGTTTGGTTGAACTATGTTGAACTTCAATGAATTTATATGGACTTTATATGGCAGTTTTGGCAGGTTTTGGGAACCATAACTTATATAACTTATATAACTTTGAACCCCCATATGAAATCATATGAACCCATCTCAAATTGAACTTCATGGAACCTGGCTGAACTTGGTTGCCCTTGTGGTTTGAGTACGGCCTGGTACGTCGCTACCTTCGAAATGTTTGAGACGTTGCGTCCGTTGCGTCGAAGGCTCGTGGTATGCGTCCTGCGTGTTGCAGCGTGCGGATCTTGGTCCATTGGTGCTGCGCTCGGCATGGCAACCTGGGAGCCTGTCGGAGCACCGGGAGCACCAGGCCACCGACAGGCGCTGGCGGAGTTCCTCTCCCAAACTTTACCAGCAGGGGCTGGTGCCTTAGACATCCTTAGACTATCGCATGCCTTTGGAATCTTTGGATACGGCGTTGTTCTCAGCTTCAGTACGATGTAGTTAATGCGATGATGCTTGAGTCAAGCAATCATTGAATCGAACTACACTGGTCAGACACTAGAAAAGGTTTTGTCCTACACTCTGGAGATCCACATGACATGTTCTCAGCGTGCCATGCTCCGAAACTGGGGTAAAGGGTTTACCATGCCGCGACCATGCCAATATCAGGGTTCATATACCCAGTATGCAGCACATGGCATAAGTACTGCACGTAGAGTTTGGACAACCATCCCCATCCCCATCCCCTCCTGTGGACTCATGTGGAATGACGTGGGTAAGCAGCTTGGGTTGTTTATTCCCCGCGGCCTAGGCTCCTGGCTTCTTGCTGAGGCAGAGAATATCGTGATGGTTTTTTAGAGATTGAAAGCATTGAGAGGCTCTGTGACGAGAAACCGAAGTTTTTGTTAATGATTGTCAAACCGAAGTGTCAGCTGCCTCCTTTTGGCTCAAGTGTTTGAAGTGAACAGCCACAGCCGAAGATGTGGAGGCTGTATCCGTTGTCCGTGGCGTGCGGGCCACAGCGGCCACGGGTTCCCCAATTGTGACCCCCCAACTGTCATCTCACTCGATTTTTCTCAATGCTCCTTTGTGATGAAGGTGGCGCTGAAGTTTCAAATTGACCTGTGTTGACGCTCAACTTTTGTTATCGCCTTGAAGCAACTTCCACATAGCATTGGCTCAAAACAATAAAGGACCACCCAAAATGAGAGATAGTTGAAGAAATTGAATGGAGAAAATGCAAGGAACTGATTCCACTTGTGGGTGCATTGGTACCCCCTCAAAGTGATCCACTCCCGATTCCGCTGTCAGATTCCAGTGGTGCCTGGCAGCGCTTCTCTATAGCCCAGCGATGGCAGCCATTTGTGGAAACTGGAATGAAGCGGAGTGCATCTTGGATTCACCTCGATCGGAGCATATTTTTTGGAACAACTGGGATGTTGGTATATGTTGGTCCCAGATAGGATAGATAGGAAGATGTGAATGGGTAGGGTAGGTTGGAAAAAAGTCCCTCTGGTAATTGTGGAAAATCACCATTTGTAATAGGTAAATCATTGCTAAATCTATAAATGGGTCATTCTTCATAGCTATCTTAGTCATTACTGGAGGGTTTTTTAGTAAAAAAAACATCTCTGCAATATATCGTAGCCTAGTTCCTATCCCCCCTCGCCATGATTTCGGTGGGATCACAAGCGTTCCGCAGGTAGCTCCAACAATGATGGTGGCTGTACTTGTGTCCCTGAGCTGATCAGAAGCAGACTGGCAGAGTGGCAGTGCGGCTGAAGAATTTTGATACGGAAAGGTCGCTTCATTCTTGATATGGGGATGGGTCAAAAGTCAAAAGCTATGAAATACATCAAAATACATCCCCATGAATGGACAAATCCCATATAAAATGCACTAAACTACCATATTTGGGGGACCGAAGATCCATAAATCCCCAGCTGTGATAGCTTCTGGCCGCGTTTCGACTGAGGCCTGGGAGAATGGTGCCTGCATCAAAACGACGCAGTGCAGCGGTGTTGGCATTACCGGCGGCGTGGATGAAAACTCGCCGCTGGGGCCAGAGGAAGTTTTCTTTATATAAACGTTTCTTTGAGGAATAGCCCAAACTATCCTATAGTTTTTCCAGAGCAGAAATAATATTTTTTGTCAATCACATTTCACACAATGAATTGAATCCTTCGGAATCATGTGAATGGATTTTGACTGGGTTTTTACTTGTTTTGGAAGTCCTTTATTTTCATTTTTTTCTTGGGTAGTTTTTCCCATTCGACATTCCGGAGATGCGATTCCGCCCAGGGTCAGCCTTTCCGAGGACGACAACGCTGACAGCAATTGGCAACACGGCCTTCACCGCAGGGCCCAGTTGGCTTGGGGCTGCAGCTTCCTGGCAGCAGAGGAGGACAAGATGGGGTACATGGCACTGTGGATGACATTCGTATGTAATATTATATATATTATATATATATTATATATATATTATTATTATTATTATTATTATTATTATTATTATATATATATAATGATATATGATATTATATATAAATAAATGAATATATATATATATATTATGCATATATATATATGTATATAAGATGATATATATATATATACATATGTATTTTATTATATTGTATTATATTGTATTATATTGTATGGTATTGTATTGTATAATATAATATTCTATTCTATTCTATATTATATTATACTATACTTATACTATGTAATATTATACTATTTAATATAATATTATATTCTGTTAAATTACATTACATTATATTACATTACATTACATTACACTACATATATTATAAATTTTCTATTGGTCAGATTGTTCAAGGGCATTGTCTCATGACCCAAAGCGGATTGCCAGCAGAATTATGTTCTCCTTTGCGATGCAGGTGTGGCTAGTGAGGCTTTGGAACTTTTGATGCCTGTCCAATTGGCATTGAGAACTTTTGGGTGCCCTGAAAAGGCAATGGCTGAAAGCAGCCCAATCGGCTCAAGGGCTCAAAGCAGCCCGATGCCAGGATCCTCGGCATTGATGTTTCAAAAGATGCCTGGTTCGTTTTGGGATGACACACCATGGATTCCGACCAGGGGTTGGTAACTGTCCCATTTTGGGAATATTGGACATCACCTTATAGTAGCCATTATAGACCATATACCTAATGGCTGGGTGATGTTCAATGGGGACATTTAATGACACCATGGATTCCTGGAATTTCTTCTCCACAGGAATCGCAAGAGTTCCTCAGATCCTGGGCAGGTCTACGAAGAGCAAGGCGAATGCTGTGAATCACTCAGGATCTCTGCACACGGAGATTCACAGACAATTGCCGCAACAAGACCATTCCGGATCAAAACGAAACAGAGGGGTGTCAAGGTACGGCCGCCCAAACACTCCAATGCTGCTTGGGTCTTTTTTGGCAGGTGAGGGTGACATCTACAACACCAACGCTTGTGCCAGAGGTTAATTTCTTGAGAAAAGGATTTCGGGTTCCCAATCTTTGAAAAATCAATGAGTCTGGGTTTCCAATTTTCCGAGAATCACTGGCTTTGTGCAGTTTTCAATCTGCACACGCTCACATGGAACAATTCAACTCGTTTCATGGCTGTGATGCATGGCTTGCCTCCTCGAGTTTTCTCCTAACGGCAGGAACATGGGAGGCCGTGCTTTGCGCGGGCGGCCGGAGCACACAGCAGGATGCTGAGAGCATCCCCATACGGCCCATGCCGATAACCACCGCGAGTTGTGACCTTGATTCGTTAGGATGCCATTCAACACAGTGGCACTTGGCATGTGCAGCTCAAGGGCGAGAAGGCACCAAAAAATGGTGTGGAAAGTGAGATCCAGGGGAGGTTGGATGAATACGTCTTTCAGGTATGCTGCAGATCAACAAGGTTTGCAAATGAACAGGATTTTCATGAATGGTCGACAATAGTTGATCCTTCTTCGGCCAGTTGAGTACCAAAACAGACTCTTAAAGGTCTAAAGCAAGACTCAACAACTAATAAATCTTGGGAATTCTGAACGAATCCAAAAATGTTCGGAGCCTCCTGCCGTGCCTCTATATTTTTTTTCTATAGATGTATTTGGTATTGGTAGGGTTGGAGAATTGCACATTCCGAAGGCATCGCATGAAGACTATACAAGCCATGGCTCCCCCATGACTTGAATCCACCCTTTCTGGTTGCGTCACTTCGAAGTGGGACATTTCACAACCGTCAAAACAGGTGTGATCATTGGCAACAGCTATTGGGATGTGGGAGTTTACACAACTGTCTACAAGCAGGATATACGCTGCCAATATGTTTGAGTGGGTCCAAAAATCAGTGATTCTCCACTACAGCATCCTCCCTCACATAGTCCTTAAACCCCATGGAACCATTTTCGTAAAGGCATTCCCAATTTTTGAGATAAAGTGACGTTTGAGGATTGCCAGCCAGCTCAAGGTTGCTAGCAATGTGGATACTATCCAACTCTCAAGTTGTCAAAATATATTTCTGGTTCTCGTCTGAGTTGGAATCAGAACGAGGCAAAACCGTTGGGTGCTGCATGCACTGATGCCCTTTGTGCTCAAGGCTTCGTCCAAATGTCGTCTGATACACAACGGCCCTTCAAATGGTGCAATTTAGCATACATGTCCTTTTTTTTTTAATAGCTATAAATCTTAGCTTCCCAGACGACAAGTGTTGCTTTCCATTCCCTGCTGGGAGAATGAATCCCAGTTCGCTGAAAAAGTATGTTGTCTTGTTTTTTGGTGCTGAGGAGATTCTGTTTCCCTTTTAGGTAAACACGCCACCAACAAGGCAGGATGAAACTCAGGTCATGATACCAGTGAATGGCATGTTCTGGTAGTACATTTGCATGATGCCGACCGGAATCTATTTAAAGAATGAAGCACTGACCATGCTGAACAAGATGGGCTGATGCTTCAAGAAAGAAGATTTTATTTTGCCTATTGGAGAACTGGAAATGGGCCATGTCTGGGTTTCATGTGGGTTTGTCGAATGGCGACAACGATGATAAACCATTGGGATTATTTGGGTTGGTTCCCCCACAAAAACAAGATAAACATATACTGTAGATAAAAGTTATAAACTCTTACTGTATAGTATGCTGTTGTCATCTGAGTCAACCCATTTGGGCCCATTTGTGCTATGGGAACAGTCCGAGAGCCTCGAGGGCCTCGAGGTCCAGGTCTCGTCTGGCACCTGCTATTGATCTCTGCATCTGGAGCCTATTGGGAACCCGCTGCGGTGGAGTATTGGGTCGAGGGTGCCAAGCTTTATCGGCCACTGACAAATGGCAGCACCTTTCCAGTTTTAAACTTCCAGAGAGGCAACATCAGTGCCAAGGTCTTTAGTCAGCTGGTGCGGGAGGGTCGGCCTTTTGTGGTGAGGGCCCTGGGTGAGTCTCACCCCATGCGGAAGTGGGACTGCCAGTTTTTCCAGGAGAACCCGCTATTTTCGAAGCTTCAAGGCCGACGAGAATATGCTGACGCAAACAGCAGCCAGCCGGAGTGGAAGGCCTTGAAGGATATCTTGCGGACGGACCCAGGGCCATCTGAACACAGCCAGGGGTCAGTTCGAAAGTCACCATATTATGTGGGCCTCAAAGATGTGCTTCACAACCCACAGGAGTTGGCACAGGACCCACTCTACAGTCAGACCTGGTCCAAAGATGTATTGAAACTGGTTCGAGAACACAGTGCCATTCCTGATTTCATGCCACCTGGAAACCTGGACATGATCCATGACACGCCTGAGTTGTGGTTCGTGGAAGCAGGCGGCAGCAGTGGCGCTAAAGCTCATGTGGATGCACATGCCGAGTCCACCTGGAGCCTACAGCTCTGTGGCCAGAAGCGCTGGCGCGTCTCACCCATTGCAGCCAGGAAGGCGCCGCATGTCATGAAACTCTACCAGGATGGGCAGATCTATCAGCGGAATGAACATCTGTCCTGGAAGCTCTTCGAAGATGTGGTCCTATCACCAGGCGGAAGGGTGAGGGATGGCTTTTTTGCATCTTTTTGCGACTGGATCATGAATGATGTAGGGTTGGAATGTAGGTGATGTAAGCGTCGGTTTGGACGACCCAGTTTTGATTACCAAGGTGGGACCATGTCAACGCATCCATGTGTGTTGGCAACTCTCATCCTTTCTATTCATGATCGTCATTCTTGATTCTTAAGTCGGTTGGGAATCTACACACCTGGTTTCGAATTGAGGTGTTTATTGCTGTATGGGTTTCTCCATGAATAGGGTACCCCCGAAATTCAGTGCTTCAGAAAACCACATGTTCCCCTGTCGCCATGGTCCTAAATCAGGGCAAATCCACCACTTCTGGACCGACCCATATCGTATTGTTTGCCATTATATATATATATATTATATACGTATATATATATATACTGTACTGTATATATATATATATTTACTGTATATCCCATTTGAGTCCATAATGTCCCTAGAATTTGGTTGGCTTTACAATGCTTTACAATTTTGAGGTAATTCCCCCTGAACTCTTGGTTTCTTGATGTTGGTTTCTTGGTCCTTGAGGCGATGCCGTCTTCTTCGGTCCCGGCTTCATCCATCAGACCGAAGCGTTGGGTCCTTCTCCTGGAGCTTCGATCACCTGGCAGTTCAACCAACCGATGGCCACCAGCTTTCTGCGCAGTTTCATGGCGCGGATTCGCTTCACACCTGACCTGTTGGCTTCGTGGCAACAGATGCAGGAACTGGTGCGAAGATCCGAAACTTGGTCACTGGCTGAGATTCGTGGATCGCCGGATTTGGCGGATTTTCTGGATGTGAATGGAGATGGGGAAGTGCGTCCGGAAGAACGAGACCAGGTGCTGGAGATGTGGAGTGCAGTGCTGGGAAAGGTGAGATCTGATGTGCCTCAGAAGCTCCAACAACGGAAGCTGGGGCTAAGAGAAATTGTGCATGATGAGCAGGATTTGGAGCAAATGCCCAAGAAGATTCAATCTGCCATCAGACAGTGGGAACTGAAAGCTTTCGCTTTGGACGAGGCTTCCGTCTCTCACACAGAATTGTAGCACCCCCTCGGCACGACGGCAACAAGTTGTGGTATCCCTGAACCGGCCTCAAGGCGATGAGACGCCAAGATGTGACGAGAGGAAGATCAGCAGGAGCTGTGACTGAGGAAAGTGAAGGATTGCCATCGATTGCCGATGTTTTTGACGTTTGCAGAACAAAAAGTGCTCAAAAAGTGCTTTCAAAAGCATTCATTTCATTTCAAGATCCTCTGACGACACTGACAAAGTGGTTTTAACATGTTTTAAAGAGGTAAGCCCAACAACAAACCATCCTCAATGTTGGTTTGTCAATGGGGTATACCTCTATTTGGGATGATTTATAGGCCCGAAAAATGGTGATGGCAGGTATGGACCGTGCGACCTACTGCAGAGCTTCAGCGGCAGGAGCAGATGCCTGGATGGCTGGGAAACGGAGATGTTTGGCGGCGAGATCCCATCAAATTCCTTGGAAAATATGGGCTACTTGGGGGATCATCCCAGTTAGCATACATAATAGGCATGGGAAAATGGTTGTATAATGATAATGGTGATATAATGGTGATATAATGGTGATATAATGGTGATATAATGGTGATATAATGGAGTTATATATATATATATATTCAATGGGTTTAATACTCAAACATGGGTCAACTTTTATAAACATGGGGATTCTGACGTGGGCCAGAGAGCTGGCCTCTCTGGCCAGATCCCTCCGAGAATAGGTACCCAATGGTCGATCGCCATGCTAATTCAGGTTATCAGATGACAGCCTACCAGCCTACCAACCGTTGGGATAAGACACAAGCCAGAAAACATGGGAATGTCATCTGCCCACTGTGCGGACATATTTCATGGATTTTCATTGGAAACTTGTTCAAGAATTGTCGCGGTTTTACCATGATATGCCTTACGTCCCCCAGAATCCCAATGATGATCCCGGAGTTTCCCATCAGTGCTGGCTGTTCTAAGGCGCCCTCACTGAAGGGAGGCAAGCCAGTGAAAATCCACTGCAGAGAGGGTGACGTTTTGTGCATCTTGGCGGCAGCCCAGAAAGGACAGCTATCAACTCCCAAAATGCAATGTTTCCCCTCCAAAAATGGTGAGTCAAAACCTTGGTACCCTGGTGAACCCCAAGATAGCTCGTAAATGCATGTGTATCCCCTCAAATATGGTATATAATAGGTCTTGACCCATCCCCAAATGTGTTGTTGCTTTTTCTTTGTTGGGCTCCTGGGTACCTTGCACAGGCGTTTCGCGTTCGCGCATTCAGCACTGGACAGGTATCAACACCCGACTTTGGTGGCACAAGACCCACATTCCAGCCGGCTGCAAGCTGTCCATCAGTGCACCGCTCTTGGGACTTGCCTTGCCTCCAGATTCTTGAGAGATCGGGTGTTGTCAAAAGCCAGATTTGCCAGCCTCAAGGTTGCCCGCGACATGTACTTAGACGGCACTCGGCCTGGTGCCTGTGACATGACGAACATTGAAGGCAGACAGCATTCACGTGGTGCCGTCAATTTGGGTTTGTCTGAAAACGGTGCAATACTGCATTTCATCCACTGGTCCATCATCATTTTCCCTGTAGAATTGACCTTTTAGGGGTATAGCCCATTTACAGAGGAGATATGCCGTTGCAACTTCGCATGTTCATTCTTTGCTTTGATCTACTGGCAGAAGATTTGTTCGTTCGACCAGGCCACTATGCTGTCAGGCCAATTCAAAAGGGTGCCAGATGCTTGGGTGAAATCCGTCGTATGACCAACTGTAGTAGAGGGTGCAACTGAACAGCTTTGTTTAAAGCATCCTGACATTGTTGCAACCATAGATCGTGAAGCAATTTTGGACTGCTGGCAAGATAGACGTCGATTTTCCTGAAATGTGTAGACTGTGTAGACTATTCGCATCAGTTTGATTCGTGTCTTTTCGCATCTTTTTGCTCTTGATATCTGATATCTTCAGGCCATCATATTTACGGAGGACAATGCGCCACAACTGCAATTGCCAAGGAGACTGTTGTGTCGATTTGAGCAGAGTACCAGCACCAAGAAATCGTACCGTTTTCCAGTGGTTCTGCTCGTAGGAGCTCCAGCTCTAATTGTGGAGTTCGAGAAGGTCTGCGGATGCTGGGTTTGACCAACTTGGGTGCAGGTCAAAATGGGTGTGCCCCCTTTTTTGGTTTGTGGATGTGGTGGAATATGATGGACGTGTTTTTTTTTAAAGACAGTTCATCTCGGATTTCGCCCCGTGAGGTCAAGATGGCCGCCTGGTGGTTGCCGCCAAGCGAGCCATCAGGAAGGGCGAATGGTTTTCCATCAGCGAAAGTGAAGAGGCGATGACTGTGTTCCCAAAGGTTACCAAAGGGGGGTGCAAAAGGTATCACCAGCCGCAACCAGCCAAAACCTGCCAAAACCCTTGCTGAATAGTCAACAGTTGGTGAAGGTTGGTAGAGGAAATCTATTTGAGACAAGAATCGATGACTTTTTTGATAGGGCAAAGGCCTCGTGCGGCCTAGTGCGGCCTAGCAATCCAAGCCGAGTTGATAACTCCCGTGGATCAGGAAGAAGAGCCGAGAGGGCGAAAGCGGAAGCGTTGAGACGAGTCCCGAAAAAATGGGACCCTGAGGTGGCGGTGTTTCTGAAAATGGGAGAACTCTTTAGAAAACTCAGGAGTCTGAGATTCTAAGAGTCATTGCTAGGGATTCTATGCTGAGGTCCTCCATTTTCAGTTTTGAAGAAACTGTTCTAGAGATTTGACATTTGGATCTCTGTGTGGTGCCCTAGACTCCTATACCCTTGCAGAATCGGTCACGAAGCCCTCAGCATTGGCATTGGCTCAAGTACAACAAGAACGTATGACTGCAGCGAATTTGCTTATGCGTTACAGATTCCGTTGCTCAAGTTGGTATATGCCAATATGCCCTGTATGAGCCTCATCAGGATTTGCCTTCATGTTTACCCAGGATCAAAAAAATCTAACCTGGATTGTAAACAAAACAACAGTTCATCAATTGGGATGTCCTCAACATAGTGAAAAATCCAAGTGTTGAGGGTGTCCTCCACATTCACACAGTGCTTTATTTAACCTTCATGCCCTGGGTTCGTCCGTGAGTTCCACCCCAGCCGCCATGGACAAGCGCTTGCCTCATCGGATCCGGGAGATTCGGCTCCAGTTCCAGAGCACAGGAAAGAGCTGCACGGCAGACAGAGCCTTGTCGCTGAGGGGATTTCGTGGGGTTTTGCCAGCCCATTTATGGCTATCTTACTGTTAAAGATGATGACCATGTGTTGGAATTGCAGGTACCCCTTTTTCAGACAAACCCATATGTTTGAACACTTTTGAGCCTCACCCAGTTCGGCATCGGCAGCACGTGCCATGCCGCCGCCTGATGGACCATCGCTTGATTTGGTGTATGAACATCTAGGTACAAACCAGCTAAACTAAACAGCTAAGGAAGGGTCAGGGTCTGCTTGCAAACCATTTTCCATTCTGGCACTTGTCAGCTTAAAATTAGTAAAGAGGTATGTCCTTCGAACTATTCATTTGCATCATGCCGTGTGGCTTGGCTTCTCACAAGCATTGTCAATTTGTTGATGTAGACTCGGACGGGTGCCAAGGTGTGAAAGATGAACTTTGTAGGAACTACACGGAATATGGGCGATTGAAGCAGCAGGCCCTACGGCGCATGGTCTTGCAGGAATTGAGCACTCCTCTTCCTGCTGATCCCGGGCAGAACGGCACAGATGCGGCGGATGGACAAGCTGCAGAGCCAAAGAAAAAGAAAAGGCGCAAAGCCGAAGACAAGAAATCCGAGGGTCAGACTTCAGCCTTTCCCACCCAACCTACTGCAGAAAAGGAAAACATGAACGATTCCATCAGGCGGCTTTACTCCCAAAGCGTCCCTGCTAATGACGCCAACCTTGCGGCCAAAGCGGAGCGGGTGGGGCAAGACGCCACTGCCATGCGCAAGGCAAAGGAGAAGGCAGCCATGGCAGCAGCACGACGTGAGCAAGGCAGGCTTGGATTCCCCACCAGCTACTGATCCCATTGAAACAGGTAGATAGCATAATCACATGCTGTATAAATCCACTTCGGCTGGTTTGTTCAGGGAGGGCCATTGATCATAATCCCATTGAACATAATTTGACTTTGGGTCATTTTGGGTCAACGTCAAAAAAATTGAAAAATGTGACGTTCCTTGGGCCTCCAATTTTGATCCACTTGGATGATCTTGGATGTGCATCCCCACTTAGTAAGTGGTTTATAATCCCATATATAACCCATATAATCCCATATAATTATATATATTTATAATATATATATATTTATCAATTATGTATCCCATATATAAATGGGGATATATTCCATACACAACTGAAACCCATCGCTGGCCAAGTCCAGGTCTGTCGGATCCCGTTGGTCGTTCTGGATTTGCTCCGGAAGATCGGCCAGAGGAACGGCTGGAAGACTTGGGAGGCCCAGGGGTCGCCGTGCAGGGTTGCCCGAAAAAGCATTGACACCCAACTCAACAATTTGGATTCTGAATTAAAGATGCGTTAACTTTGAAGGATTTCGTGTACCCTTGTGATGTCCACAACTAAGATGTTGAAAGGTATGTTTGAAAGCCAATCCAATCTCAAAAGGTGGATATGATATCCCACACGAAGGTACCGAGCCAGTTTCGAGCGGCCTCAAACATTTCTTGATCCGTGCATGGATTGAAGTGTCCCCTCCAAAAACCCCAGAAAATCCCAGGAAACTCCAAGGAACCTCCCAAATTTCTAGATAATCCGATTGAAGAAATTCCACTTGGCCAGGTGTGGATGAAATACTACAGGATCTTCGACAACTGATAGTCCAGCCATTGAGCCATCCAGAAGTCTTTTCACATTTGGGTGTCCAACCTCCCACTGGAGTCCTATTGTTCGGTCCTCCTGGTTGCGGCAAGACGAAGATTGCTCATGCCATTGCCGGCACCACTGGAGTACCCTTTTTCAAGATTGCGGCCACGGAGATTGTGTCCGGGATGTCTGGAGAGTCTGAAGCGAAGATTCGACAACTCTTCCAAGCGGCCATGGGTGCTGCTCCCAGTCTGATCTTCATGGATGAAGTGGATGCCATCACCCCCAAGCGCGACTCGGCCGGTCGGGAGATGGAGCGGCGCATCGTGGCGCAGCTCTTGACATCATTGGATGAGATCCAGAAAAGCAACGTGGTGGTCTTGGCTGCAACCAATCGGCCAGATGCCTTGGACCCTGCCCTGCGAAGGGCTGGGCGCTTTGACCGGGAGATTGCCATGGGAATTCCAGATGAGGCGGCACGAGCCAAGATCCTGGAAAAGATGGTGCAGGGAATGCGACTGGCAGAGAGCTTGGATCTGAAATTCTTAGCCAAGAAAACTGCAGGTTTCGTGGGTGCAGATCTGTCAGCCCTCACAAAGGAGGCAGCGCTTGGTGCTGTGCAGCGTGCTTTCAAGGACCTCTCAGCGTCCCGTGCGCTCTCAGCACCTGAAGCATCCGACTCCAACGGCATCGCTGGGACGTCAACAGGTGAGAGTGGCCCCCTGTTGACAACCCAAATATACACACATTGCATGCTCAAGTGGTTGCAGAGCAAAACCCCTCAAGGATAACTGAACCCACATTTAAACTCATTTAACATCCCCCTTTCCATTTCCTCTATAAAATGCTAGTAGCTTAAACATGTTTTTTTTTAGTCAAATGAGGTCTGTGCCAAAATACGAAAAATAAGATTCTGATTTTGTGGAAGGCCATTCGTAAACCATTTGTAAGCCAACATGTGACTTATGACCAATTCAGCGGGACCCAGCTACCTGACCTTTATAGAGAGGCTATTTTTGGCAGTTCTGATTTGTGGGCCCACTCCTGAGTTTATAGAGGGAGGTTTTTGAGATAAATTTGGTGTTGTTGACCGATCGCCACATCCTGTTAACATTTTGATTAAGAGCCAAGGGGAATGGGTCTGACAAGCTGCCAATGCAGCCCATACATACATATGTATATATATATATATACGATAGATAGACATGATTCAGAGAGAGAGAGAGAGAGAGATAGACAGATGGATGGATAGAGAGGGTTTCAGACTGGTTTCAGATTGTTTCAGATGCCTCTTGGGGACCTTTCCAACAAACAGAGCTTCAACCTTTTTCATTGTTCTTTTTTTTAAAGGTTGTGCCTTTCGACGCGGTCTCTATAAAATCAAACAGTTCCAAAAACTGGATTCTGTTCATATGTTTCCTGCTCCAAGCCTCAAACATCCCTACCCCTTTCCATATCGTGAGGTATAGCCGGACTCCAAAATGGAGAATTTCAGGTTTGAAGTACCCCCAAATAGAGACTATTTTTTCGATTCTATCGAGAGGTTTTGCTTCAACACTGCGCGTGTTGACGATGCCTTCCCACAGGTGATTCGGAAATCATTGGGGGTACTTAGTGCATGTACTCGGCATCAATATGGAGCAAATCTCTCTCCCTCTCTCTCTCTCTAAAATTAGAAGTGCAACGTACCTGCCCTCTAACCTCCAAAGTTGGGTCATTACATGCCTCAAACATTTTCAGACCTTTCCATATAGTGAGACAGCAGTACTCCAAAATGGATAATTCAGGTTTGAAGGGCCCCCAAATAGAGACTATTTTCTCCGATTTTATCGGGAGGTTTTGCTTTAAAAATCCCGGTACCAAAAAGTGTCCCAAGAGGGCAATTGTTTTCCAATTTTTCTGGTCATTTTTTCTTTTTCTTTTTGTTCTCAAATTACTACCTGATGCAGCAAACTATGGAAATTGAATGAAATTGATGGCATCCCAAGCCACCCACAACCATCCCAAAAGAAACCTCTCTATAAAATCAAGGACCCAGGTCCAGCTTGTATTGGCATCCCTTTCAACAGCTCCACTATGAAATCGGAGATCAGGTACCCCAATATTAAGGGTCCACATGTTTCAATAGACTTTGTAAAACTGCCATTTTGGATATCCTCTTTTTTAAGTAATAGTGGATCAGGTGGATGACTTTAATGGAAATCCTGCCCAACGGCAACCCAGCCCCAGAGTTTATAGGCTTTTGGTGGTTACAAACAGGCATTTGTAGCAATGTGGCGCCTTATTTTTCCTTGATTTTGCAGAGTCGTATTTCTTGCAATCTATTTTTTTCCTGATTTTAGAGAGCGTATTATATTGGAACCCAGGTACCTCTACAAAATACCGAGCAGTGAAATTCAGAAGGGGATCATTTAACCAATTTAACCAGAATCAGATAAAGATTAGAAGAGACATAATCAGCCATTTCCATGAGATTGATTATATCCCATAATATCCCATAATATCCCATAATATCCCATAACCATATTCCCATCATAACAAGATTGGGTGCCAAATTGTCCCCATTAAAAATGGGCACTGCCGGCGATCCAGGCGCAGAGTCGAAGGCCTACAGCGCAGAGGAGATGGAAAACTTGGCCATCGAGGCCGCGGATTTCACGGAGGCACTCAGCAAGGTGCAGCCCTCCGCGCGGCGCGAAGGCTTCACCACGATCCCGGAGCTTGGGATTTTTCAAAATTGAGTGGGTTGAAACTTCCAAAAACAATCAATTGGATAGTTCAAGATTCTGTAGGTTGCTATGTGGATTAAAAACTATAACTGCAAAGCCAATATCTTTGGGAAGCCAAGGATGTGAAATGGGAAGATGTCGGTGCTCTGAAAGAGGCCTGGAAAGTGGGGGGAAGGTGGGACCGAGCTTTGGGTGGACATTCCCATCTCAGTGTCAGGTGCAGGCCGACATGGACGCAGCAGTCTGCGAACCCATTCGCAAGGCTGAGCTGTTTCGAGAGCTAGGTCCAATCCTTAGAAGTGATGGGTGCTGCTTGAAGGCTTCAGCAGTGCTTCTGTGATGTTGATTTCAGCATGTCTGCTCTCCCTGGGTATCGCGCAGAAACACAAATCATATATATATATAAAACGTGTTCAACGTTTTGCGTCAACCTGTGCAACGCAACCGAGGCTCTTAGCCGCTAGTTAGGTTTTTCGGATTCCGAGAGTGAATCCGAATCAGCAGAACAGATTCTCAACACGGTACTTCATTCCAGCACTAGAAGGAACAGTCCCCGAAAATGCAGTACCCAAGCAGCATAATCCCACTTCCAAGCCATTCAACTTTCAAGCTGCGTGGAAACAGAAGCCACGGCTTTGCAGCGATCTGCAGCTGCGCATCCAAAGCAAATGCAAGCCAAAGTCTCCTGGTTTGCATTCTATTTGCATGGCATTCTTGACACTGAAGTCACTGTCATCTTGGTTTGGAAAAGTTGAGGATGCCCCCGCCCCAACCTCCTTGGACTTGGCTTTCGTATATACTTGACCAGGTCGTCTTTGGGGGGTTCAGTTAGACCCCAGGCTGCACCTGTCAGGATGCCTGCGCCGTGGAGTTCTATCCACCGCCACCCATTAAATGGCACGCCTCGGTTGAGCAGCATGAGTCCATCATCCACGATGCGGAGGAGCGTGGGCTCTGGAACAAGCAGCCGCAGCCTGCTAAGCAAAATGGCTCTCAAAATGATTAACATGGAAAAATATGGAAAAATGCCAAAGAATGCCAAAGAATGCCAAAGAATGCCAAGTTGAAGCGGGGAAAACCATGATCCATCATCATTTTTTTGGGGTTTTATGGTATTTCCAGCCATTTCCAGCCCAACCAAATGTGATTGTCCATGGTATGGGTCAGCAGACCGCAACCTGAGGCCGAAACCTGCGATGCAGAAGCATTCCAGGGGTAGTTCCGATGCCACAACGAAGATTGGGAGCCAGGTGGGTGAGAACTTGATGCCTCGAAAATTTCGATTTTGTCAATGACGGTGGTTGACAAAATTCCCACAATGGCAAACATGTCCAAGAAGAACCACTCTTTACTCATCTTCCATAGTCTGCAGGATGAAGACATGCACATCTTGGTAAAGGGAGCCTTTGCAGTGGATCCACCAACTGACAACGTTCGCCAGGGCCTCGGGTCTTTGGCATTCTTTGGCAATCAATTTTGACAATTTTGGCCCATAGATTGCCATAGATTCCGGGTGCACTTCATAGGTTTCTGCCTTTGACTCAGTCCTTTTCCAGGAGCATATCGTGCTACAGCCTTCTACCAGAGCGAAGGCTTAGAGCCTCGAGAAAGGAGAAAGACTGAGCCCCAGCAGGCCAGTGAAGTGGACGGTCAGATATTTCGCCAGGGAGGCTTTTAAGACAGGACAGGAGCTCCATGGTCTGAGTTCTGGGTGGAACATTTTGTCGTGACAAAGTGTGGAGGCTGTGGCCAGCGAATATGGACAGCAACTCCAGGACTGTAAGATGGAGGTGGGATTGGAGTCTGATACTGCCGAAGCTAGTGACATGACATTGGACATCCACTAGCCAGTTATTTTGAAAGGTGTAAGTGTCCAACACAACCATGACATGGAAGTATGATGAAAGCTAGAAGGGAAGAATTTGGGGCAGTGGCATGCACAGAGTCTATTACTTCACGGAAGTTTTTCTCGGTGTTTAATGGGAGTTTGGGCTGGTTTGGGCATCGTTTTCAGTCCCAGGCACTACCCTCCCATGCCACAGGCACGCTTCAACCTCCCTTACAACTCCCGGGTTCCTTGGCAAGTGTTCTGCACGAGCGTCTTGTTGTTCTGCCGGATGTTTTCCATGAGTTGCAGAGATGATTGACATTGATTGACATTGTGGCTGCTGCTGCTGCTGCTGCTGCTGCTGCTGCTCCGTCTAGCACCAAACTCATTCCATGCAGAGTAACCATAACGAGTTCTTGATTTACAGTATTATTGTAATATATATATATATCTGAAGCCACTAGAAAACCTCTTTGAAAGCGCCTGATACTGCCTAACTTCGCTTTCTGAAGCCACTAGAAAACACCTTTGCAAGCGCCCGGCAGATGGCCAACTACCCACCAAAAGGAAAATGCTGGCAAGCGTGCCAGGAAGGGTTTAAAGCCAGGCTAATGCGTAATAACGTTGCTTTCTGAAGCCACTAGAAAACTTCTTTGAAAGCGCTTGAAAGCGCCCAGCAGATGGCAAAAGTATGGCGCTGGGCGGGCTGCTATCTACCAAAATGCTGGCAAGGGCGCCGGGAAGGGCGTTGGGAAGGGTTTCAAGCCAGGCTACTGCCTAACATCGCTTTCTGAAGCCACTAGGCCTTAACGACACTTTTTCTCGGACGCGCTCCCCCTGCAGTTGGCTGGGGTCGGCGGATATATATACACAGACGCACACACACATATACATATATATACACACACACATTGTTGTTGATACATCCCAGGATATCCACAACATTCCATGACTCCCTTGTTGGCTATACCAGCAACAAAAGGACCCTCAGACTTGGCTCAGGAGCAGTTTGTAAAGGTTCAACTCCTGGCCTCTACGATGGATGGGGCGGAACTCCCTGTTGGCGAAGCCACAGTTCCCATCGCCGACCCAATGACGGAGTCCATGAACAGCTGGTGCCTTTTTGAGCAAATCTTGGGGACTGGATGGTTTATTTATTTTTCATTTGGTCCATTTCCATCAGAAGTCGTTGACAAAAATTGGAGGAAGGCTCCATGTTTGATGGAATACAGATGCAACAACAGAGGTTTCCGCAGTCTTATCTCTCAAGTCACTCCATGAATTGAAGGAAGTCAAAGGGTTTGGGGGGACAAGCCCCTTGCTGTCCAAGCCACGTGCAGGCGGATCATGCGAGATTTCGAGGAACAAGGAGAGGCCAGGTTTCAAGGACAAGTCGACATATTGGTTTAATTAGGGAAGTTTACAGGAAAACGGTTCATGTACAGGTAATTTAACATAGCTATGGAAAGCCACCATCTTTAACAGACAAATCATCTACGAATGGGCCAACTTCCATAGATAGGTTAGATTATATACCAGAGGGTAATTTTCCCCTTAAACTTGCTCTGGGCACAATGGCTTGTGATCCAGCCGCGCACACGAAGATTGGCACCAAAAAACCTCAATGAAGTCGATTACAGGGTATATCTCAGTATAGAGTATGGATGATCAACGTCCCCGTTCACTCCGTTCACCACCAACAAGAAAATTCTGAAAGGGTGCCATGTCTTGCCGTGGGCCCTGGGCATGGCAGGTTTCCCTTCAGATCCTGCTCCCTGGAAATGACTCTGGAAATGATTCCACATCTCTGGGCTCATCAGTGCAGAAGTCGATCCTCACGGAGAATTCGGATCCTTCTGAGAAGTTGGCGGAGGGTTGACTGTTGACCCATCATTTGGAATGGTATAACTCGTGCAACTCCTGTGGTGGTGCTCTTGGGGGTTCGGGGTTTCCTAGGATTTGGCGGCCAAATATGCGGCGGTGGCGTCCAAATCGATGGTTGAGTCCAGTATGCTGAGCTCGAAGGAGGACTCCATCGATTCCATGGTGCCTGAACCCTTCAGCGATGCTGATACGCCGCCCGTCCAACTTGCCATGTTCCCGTTGTCTAAAAAAACGGATGGGGGAAGAAGACAATTTTTTCAATATCGTGGCCGTTTTTGCGCTTCGGACAGGATTGGTGTAGTTTTTTTTGAGGTCCCTCAGTTTGGGACACTCACAGAATAGCATTTTCTCGGAGCTGGAAAAATGATTGGCCTAATTTTGCCCAAAGCACTGCACCATGAACCAAAACGCTTGACCTTAGGCCGGTTGACAACAAGGTCCAGTCCAACGGCAGTTTCAATCCAGGTGACAAGGTGCAGGTGGTCTCAAAATCGAGTCTTGTCAAATACATCTTTGTGCTTTCTACAGTGTCACACGGAGGATTTTGCCATATGTATAAAAAATAGATATAAATCATACATAAATCATACATATATAAATCATACATATATAATTAAATCATACACGTATAAATCATATATATATATATATATATAAAAATCATATATATATATGTATATATATATATATGTATGTTGAAGTATTGTGGATGTTGGGGAAAGAAGGTTCACTGCAGCCGACATGTTACCACTTTTTTGAAAGTAAGACACCTTTACAAGCCGTTGTTTCAAGGGCTTGTAAGAATCATGGTGTTTCTCGCTGTCGCCTAAGGAGTGGACAATGGGTACTTGCCTCGATTGTTCACGTCGAGCGGACGCAGAATGAAGTGATAGTACAACACGGTCGCTTGTTTGCACCATTGGTGACACCATCATTGGTTTACCATGAAAAAACCATGAACAAACTCGACATTTTCCGATGAAAATGGCCATGACCCGGACCTCCAAGGCGAATTGCGGAAGGTGATCAACTTGAAGGCTCCGAAGCTGGCAGAATCTTGGGTTTTGGATGGTTTTTTTGGCGATTTCCGGAGACGGTGGTGTTGGGATTTCAGAAGACCATCCCAAATGGGTGAGACTTTTGGCCAATTTGATTTCCCCGGGTGGAATACATGATACCTGCGAAATTTCCGAGGGCTGGTTAGTCTGTAATTTTCGAAGATTGGCCAGTGTGGTGTGGCATCTCTGGCGACCAATGCATCTACCCAATCTCTAATCCCATGAATCACTGGCTACTTGTGTAGTATGGCTCCGGGGTTGAGATGAAAAATACATCCTGAAAATCCCTGAAAGCGAAAGCGCTATGCCGCTATGCGTGTCACTTGTAGTGAAATTTGGGTGAAGTGACTGCATGGCCCAGGAGTCTTTCCTGTCTCTTGGGGCTTCTGGCAGCCCAGTGCTGGGCGGCTTCAAGCTGGGATCTTCTGCTGAAGTTTTTTCAGCCAAGGCGAGGCATTTTCTGATCCCGTCCCCCATATTAAACACCTCCTGAATGACAAAGGAATAAAGGAACAAGCGCATGTTTTTCAATTAAATCATGGTTTCTGGGGTGTGTTTAACGTTTGGGTGAATATATTACACTGATGATTGAAGATGCTTTACCATCATTTCTGGTTGAAAGGTTAAGTTTACCTTTACTTCCCATCCTTTGGCATCAGGAGGTTAAAGCCACCAACCTGTTTGCCCAGTTACATCACATTCACCTCGATTGACATATTTGTTGGGAAGGGTGGGGATGAGGTTCAAACGAAAAGCTCCCAACATGGATAGCTTCTTGTATCCTATATAGCATATTATAGCATGGTATAACCTCCTCTATTCTGTTCATGTATGTTCTCAGAGAATCATGGCGCCATTGGGCGCCAGCTGCGAGGCTCAACGCTGGCTGATCGGAGAAGTGACCCGCCTCGACTTGGGGCGAACAGAAGTAACCGTTGAGTATGAGGGCAGAGTGAAGACTGCATCTGGGCGATGCGGGTTCTGATGGGTTTTGGAGCTGGGCTGGACTCCTGGAGCTGGGCTGGACGGCTGAATATTTTGGAACCCAAGGCTTGAGGTTTTGAAGGCCAACTGGGGTCGGATCATTTGTGATGCTGTAGCCCCACACCTTTGTTTATCAGTGGGAGACAAAGACTCAAACACGCAGCAGAGTGGTTTGACAAACTCACGCTTTGCATTTCAGTGCTTCTGAGGTAAACTTGAATGCTCCAGTGACTTGTATGCAAAGGAAATGCTTGCTGCTTTTCTTCTGATTCATGCGTTCTGGCCCAAAAACAAATATACTTCCCATTTGATTACATAACGTTTGATTCAATTTGTTGTTTTGCCTTTTCTACCCACTGACCACAAAAGATTGCTCGCTTCAGGAGCTCGCCAAGTATTTCCGCAAGTGCGAACCGCCTGCCCTCAGCTTTGGCGCCGATGCTCCAGCGAACCCGGCGCCGCAAGCACCGCAACCAGCGCCGCAACCAGCGCCGCAACCAGCGCCGCAACCAGCGCCGCAACCAGCGCCGCAACTAGCGCCGCAACCAGCGCCGGCACAGGTGGAACGAGACATGCAGGAGCACAGGCGCCAGTGCTCCGAAGGGAGATGACGCCTCAAGTCATGGTACCTGGGGTAGCTACAGCACCTGCAGCTGCACCTGTGGCAGCACCTGCTGTGGCAGCACCTGTGTACTATCCCAACTATGGCCCTGGCTATGGTCTTGGAATTGGGACCCAGCCGCCTGTGGCTGTCCCCTATGCACAAGCTGCTGGCGCTGGTGTCAAGGCTTGGAGGGCTCCCGCTTGACGGTCTTTTGTGAAAATTAGTTGAATCAGAATTTCATTTTGCCGAGCTAGCCAGCTGTCAAAATGACACTGGGACACATGCAAAACACGACCGGAAAAGACCGCCGCTCCGCGCCCCGGGGTTGACCGGAAGTCTGTGAAGGGGGGGAGTGCAGAGGGATTTACCAGTGGAAAACATCCTACTTGGGTCCAGCACCATTTACGTTGGTGGGTTCAGGCCTTTTTGGAAAGATGTTCGGAGTTGACAGACATCTAATTAAGGTGAGTGGCTCGACCAGCCAACCCACTAGCCAGTTCTCCCAGAACCTTACACAATTTTCCCTTGAAAAATGGTTTGCTTATTGGCTTCAGATACCATTTCCTTTCCATGAAAAATGGAACACATGATTCCCACTTGACCCATATTCTTGGGACCTAGATGGGTGTCTTGAAACAATAAAGGGCTATGGATTTTGCAACTCCTGAGGCCTCACAGTTCCGGTGGGGGTCCTTCTGTTTGGTCCTCCTGGGTGTGGAAAGACTCTCTTGGCGAAGGCAAGGCCTGGTCTCAGATGAAAAATATCGGGTCCCAAAAAAAGGAATGGTCAAGATAACAAGAATTGCAGGAAGAAACAAGGCACAGGGAGAAGACCAACAAGGGATCGAACCAAGAACACACACACACACATAGATAGATAGATAGATAGATAGATAGATAGATAGATAGATAGATAGATATATATGATATACATATTTAAAATACATGGCCTTTGACCACACAATTTGGATGGCATTGCATGGGTCAACCCTTAAACTGACCAGAGTTGTGCACGGTGACATGAGGCCACTGCCAATCAGAGTGGCGCGAACTTCATCGCGGTCAAGGAGGGTTCAGGGGATGGGACGGCCTCGCGTTCCATGTCGCATGAACTTGTCAGGGATGAATTTCTTTGGCAGGGGCCGGAGCTCCTCAACAAATATGTCGGTGAGCCCGTTCCCAAGTTTTGCTCAGGGTCTGAAAATAGGGTACCCCATGCCCATGGTCTATCATCATTTTCTCCATTCACATGTTCAATGGCCATAAAGTGGGGGCCCAGGCGTCACTCCCATTTTTGGACAACATATTATTTTGCGGGTTTTATATCCTGTAGCTATTTTGATTAATTATCTCTCTCTCTCTCTATATATATATGATTATATATATATACACCATCACATATACTCACTGTATCCCTGTATCCTATTAGATTTAATGATCTATGATCTAATCCAATTATATCCCACTATATCCATCTATATCCCACCATGATATCCCACTGCAGCCCATCATGTCCCATTAAGATCCTAGGTCCGAACGTGCCGTTCGGCTGGTCTTTCAACGCGCTCGAAGTTCGGCACCCTGCGGCGGCCTCGAAGTGCCGTTGTAGCACCACAGCACTTCGACTATGATCAGCATTTTCTAGGGTGATCAACACTGAATTTCTAGGGTTAACGATCCAAATATATATATATATAAATATGGTAACCGCCCCCCCCCCAAGAACCCTCCATATTGAGGATAAGGGCGCTGACCACATAAAGATGTATCAAATACAATAATAACACATCATTCTAAAACATTGCAAATACCAGTAAAATATATGTATTTATACCCTGGCTTCAGGTATACTTCAACCAAGTGTATAATTGCATATATTTTGTATCGAAGCCAGAAATTGGCCTCCATATTTTAAGTCATCTCAAGCCAGAAAACTTCGAAAAACAAAAAAAACAAAAATCAATATTCTGGAACTCTTTGGGAAGGACCCCAAGTACAAAACCAAACAAAACATTGGAAAAAAACAAAAAAACAAAAAATACATGACAAAACAGTTGTTTCGCATTGCTGTCTTCATAGGCCGCCTTTCATGTGCATCTACCCTCGCCAACGCCTCATGTATGACATTCCCGTGGACATCGGCCATATGGCACCTGTGACTCCGCCGGCTCTATGGGGATCTGGCGAGGTGATGTTTTGGTGTGGCCGTTACCGGCAACACCACCAATGTCACCTAGGACGCCCGAAGGGCCACCTCCAACCACGCCCACTGAGGCGTTTTTACCGGGAACGCCCCCAGGGCCACCCCCACCGACGCCTCCTCTGTGCGTCACTCTGTGATCAAGAAGATTGACAAGAGAAAGGTTCGCCATAACAGGCCCATCCAGGAACTGGCTGCTTTGCATGGTAGAAGTTTGATCAGGGCACTCCGTGGTGATGGCTGAATGGGAAGGCAAGACTTGTCCCCATTGCGGCGAAGGTGCCCTTAGTCCTCTACAATACTTTGCTGCCAAAAAGGTTTGGGTGCATCGATGCTGGAAGCACGGGTGCAAGAAGCGGGTGCAACCGCATGACTTTCACCCCATCTTCTTTGGCGCAAGTGGTCCATCTTCTACATCCTTGGCAATGCAAGCTTCTATTCTTTCGTGTGCATTGGCAGGTGTCCCAGTGACATCTGTACCATCCCTGCTTGGTGTGCACACAAAGGCCGTGGAGAGGGTCTACTCCAATCTGAAACTTGCACGGGCATGACATGTTCGGATCCTGGAGGACAAGATCGTCTTTGGCAAGAAGAATCGATGGGCAGACGTTGAAGCGGACGAAGTTGATCTCGGCAAGGAAGAGGTGATCTCCAATGCAGGCGCTTCGAAGCTTCAATGGGAACAGTGGGGAGGTATGGTTGAGCGAGGCCGACCGGAGACACTCGTCTTGCCGAAGATGACAACAAAACGAGCTCCAGGACCAGGCCCTATCACAAAAAGAAATTGGACGCAGATTGCCACCAAACATCTCAAGGACAAGCAGGTGATCTTGCACACAGATGGAGCCCGTGCATACAAGACCAAGGTGCCGGGCATCATACATGACAATGTCGTTCACAAGAAGAAGCTGATGCGCAACGGCAAAGCCACTTGGGTGAAACCTCATTACACCCGTGTCTATGTCCACAAGCTCCCTGATGGCCAAAAGGTCAAGGTCAAGGCAGGTACCCAGATCATTGATCGATTTTGGGGTACTCTCCGCCAAGGCCTTAAGAACATTTCCAGACAGCCTGGGGGCGCGCTTCTGCAGCGCAAAATTCGTTCCATCCAATGGGTTTAATGGCACAGGGGTCAAAGCCTGCTGGAAGCCACTGGTGCCATGTTGCAATGCCTCTTCGAGCTCTAGAATGACAACGCGCAGCTGTGGTCAAAAAACATTTGCGGCTGCTGCTAGTCAGTTCGCTGCCTACGCTGCATGCACTGTGTTTCTTCTGGCTCTTGTCTGCATCCTTCATTGTCAAACTTGCATTTGAATGCCGCCAGCATTCCAGCCGAAACTGTGCTTCATCATCCTGCAGCAACAACATCCAAAAACACAAAAATTCTGCATATTGATACGTCTGCTACATGATACTGCTTCTAGCGATTAGAAGAAATGTCTATATTCTGTTCTTGTCTATGCCAAACAGCAAGTATGTTGCTAAGATTTGTTCAAGCACATCGCCCATCTCCATCCAATGGCAGGTTGCTTGGGGGTTTCTGGGGGGGGGCGCTGAGCATAAATATATAAATAAACAAATCAAAAAATCAATCAATCAATAAATAAATAATTTAAATAAATAAATAGATAAATAATTAAATAAATCAATAAATATATCAATAAATAAATAAATAAACAACTAACTAACTAACTAAATAAATAAATAAACAAAAAATAAATAATATAAACACCGTAATAAACACCACTTTTATTGTCATACTATTATCACATAAGGCTTGAACAACTTCCTTAAATGACTGGAGCCGGGGCCCATGCTCAGGCGTCATTTTCTTTGATGAGCTGGACGCTTTGGTTCCAAAGAGGCGCTGCGTTCGCGATAGCGCGATATATATCCCGAACAAACCAGTTAGTTGATAACCATTAGTTAATGATATATATATATATATAGTTATTTATAAATATATATATAATTATATATATAATTATAAACCATTAGTTAATATTAACTATGTTAACTATAGTTATATCCCTTTGGTTCGCTATGTAAAAAATAGATCACAAAACATTTTTAAGCGTACAAACCAACAAGGGTTGATTAGAGGGATAGAACCAGACAAACCTATGGGGGATATGGGGGATGACTAGTGTGGGATTCACCCAATGCCATCCCCAAGCGCTCAATTGGCCCAAGTCATCAGCACTTTTCTGGGATTTCAACCATCCCCGAATAGGAGGTTTATGGTTTGCATTGGGTAACCCACATTAATACAATTTTTTTTTGGAATGAATTTATATGAATTTATTGGTACCAGGGTTACCAACCAACTATTTTGCTATTCACCAAGGTAGTGATGATCCCATCAAGCAGATTTCGGCAGGTCATCTGAAGGGAATGGTTCCTCCGAGAGAGCTTCGAGCTGAGAGCGCTCCCGGTTGTGGGGATCTAACTGGCTTCAAGTGGGTTTGAAACGGGTTGAATGCCAGTGAAATGGGGGTAGCAAGTTACAATGCACTCAGAAGTGTATAAGCCTGGAAGTTTTCATTAAATGTTCTCATGCTTTTTGGTTGGACACAGTTGCGAGCCCTGGATCTCAGCTGCACTTTGGTGAGGTGGTCAACCAGATGTTGACGGAAATGGATGGTGTGCAGTCACGTTCGCAGGCTCCTTGGGGCGATGGGATGCCAGTCCAGGTAGAAAACGGGGAAAAGAGGTGCCTTCTCCAGCGACATTTTCAGGTCTTCGTCATTGCCGCAACGAATCGACCAGATATTGTGGATCCGGCCATGCTACGACCAGGTGGTGGTGGGTAAAATTGTATTTCTTGGGAACTTGATACCCAGATTGCCGCTACTGGTTGCATTTTTTTGGTGATACTTGGCAGTGTGGCGTGTAGACTGGGCAAGGACGGCTGGATCGCTTGCTGTATGTTCCTTTACCTTCCTCGGAAGGAGACTTAGCCATCTTTGGAGCTGCTGTTGAGTGCCGGGATGTGGAAATGGCTCAAAATGATTGGAGCCCCAAATGGTCCAAGATCCATTTGCCTAGGTTGGTCGTTTGGAGATCTTGCAGACGCACATGCAAAAGTCCGCCTCTCAACTTTGTTGATTTTGGATCTCTTCCTGATATTGCCACTATTGCCACTACATGTGCAGTTGGTGCAACCTGGTGGCTAGGCTTCCATTGGCGCCCGAAGTTGTTTGGGCCTTGGCCAGCCTTGTCAGACCTCCGAGGAGGTGGTGCATGCGGGCCTTGCTCAGGATTTGCGGGCCTTTGCAAACGATGCAGAGGGCTTCAGTGGTGCAGACTTGGCTTCCTTAGCAAGAGAGGCAGCCAGCATGTCTGTGGCTATGCCTTGTTCAAGAGTTTTGACCCTTCATGGCCCTTCTCGAAAATAGGATTCACATGTTACCTTTTTTGGGAAACCCTTCTAGATTCCAGGGGCCCAACTTAAAACCTCCATCCTTTTTGGGACGGAGTGATGTGAAGCCTGGCCTTCACGGCAGGCTGCCATGTTAGCGATTCGCAGAGCAGCAGCCAGGTTGGGCAACATTTTGCTTGCTGCTTGCCACACCTGAAACAACCATAGAACGCAGTTTCCCCGTGTCTTCAGCTGAACAAAAGTGGACATTTGAACAGGGAAACCATCGGAAACCATTTCCATGGTTGTTTCAGGAACTTTCAAGTAGAGTACCCCTTCAGCTTGTTTTCACCATCTTTTCTGTTCCAATTCTGACAGTCCGGGCACGCACACCACGAACACAAGCGAGCCACAGGACTTGGCACCAACGAACTTTTCATCTGGGTCTGAAAATAGGCTACCCCTATATATAATATATATATATATGGTGCAGCGTTGGCCACCCCCCCTCCCCCCCCCCACCAATGGGTATGGGTGGACAGTATCGTCTGGTTCTTCTGGCCCCCCCCTGTGGCCCTTCTCTGTGGTGGTGGTATGGTTCTTCTGGTCCCCCCCCCCTGTGGCCTGTGTGGTGGTATGTTGGTATGTTGGTATGTTGGTATGTATGTATGTATGTATGTATGTATGTATGTATGTATGTATGTATGTATGTATGTATGTATGTATGTATGTATGGAATGTAAGGTAAGTAATGTAAGGTAATGTATGTAATGTAAGGTAAGGTAATGTAAGGTAAGGTAAGGTAATGTAAGGTAAGGTAATGTAAGGTAAGGTAATGTAATGTATGTATGTATGTATGTATGTATGTATGTATGTATGTATGTATGGAATGTAAGGTAAGGTAATGTAAGGTAAGGTAATGTAAGGTAAGGTAATGTAATGGTATGTATGTATGTATGTACGTAGGTATGTAGGTAGGTAGGTAGGTATGTAGGTATGTATGTATGTATATACACCACCACAGGGGCATCATACCCCCCCCCATCCCATGGGGGGGGGGTGGGAACACGGGACACGGGACCATATATATATAATGACTTCCTGGTATCATCATTTTCATTCATTTTTCCCATGAAATGGCCACTTCATAGGCCAGACACGCCATGCTTTGTGAGTTCCAGTCATTTGTGTCAGGAGCAATCTCTGGCCGCCGCAGCTGGGGTACAGGTTCGACGAGCATGAGCACATGCACACGAAAAGGGTGAGGTTGGAAACCAATGGGTCTAAACAATGATTTTGGGATATCCCCAGTTTTGTTACATTTCCCCAAAATAGGGTGCCGCGGAAACCAATTGTTGATCATCATCGTCGTTTTCTGGCCATTTCGGTTTATTTTGGATTTACCCGATTTTTGGACCACGCTGATTTCCAGCTGCCTCAGGTAACCACCGACCTCTTGACAGAAGCCAGAAGTCGCATCCAGCCTTCAGTTGGTCAGCAGGAGATTGGAGTTCTGATTGATCCATGTTGCTTGGTGTACGACAGTTGTCTTGCACCATTTTTTTGTGACTGCATAATTGCCGTAAAGACCTCAGACATGTTCTGATGGATGGGTTCGCAACACCGGTGATGCGGATTGTGGCTATGGGGGAATCCATCAGCCATCATCAAGAGGAGCGGAGGGAGTATGAAGACTTGGCGCTTCGCCTGTGTGGATGGAAACGCCAAGAGGCCAAACCTTTGATATCTTTGGTGGATGATGTTTGATGGATGGCAGTTCAGCTGCATTTTTTGGGGCTGACACAGAGCCCACGAAAAATATCGAAAAAACACTTTCTGATTTCCTGACGAACATTGTTTTGCAGGGAGCTGTCGAAGACAAGACCTGATGGCGTGCCATGGTCGTAGAAGCCCACCAACATGTCCATGTTCAAATGGCTTGTGGCTTCGGCTGTGAGATTGGGTCTGCTGCGTGCAGGCAAAGGTTCAGCAAAAGGAGTCTGCAGATAAGCTTTGCTGCACGTCACGATGTACATACCTATCTACCTATGTACATCTGTGTATATCTACATCAATGAGCACACATTTGCTTGCAACGCAAGTCATTCCAACAGAGTATTGTGCTGGATGACCGAGGATTTTCATTGCCTGATCTGAAGCTTTTAGCTTCAGGATGTACATTTTGATGGCAGAGCATGAATCAGGGCAAGAGCATGAACACATCTAGAGCATCAGTATTGCAATCCAGACGAGAGACTCAAGCGATCAATAAGACTTGGTGGAGCTAAACACGCTTTTTGCTTCCTCGACCTAAAAGCAAGTTCAACATCAACGTCCTTCTCCAAATGCGAGAACTCAGGGTCTAGCTTGAACACCTCCACAAAGCCCAAGAGACAAACAAAAAACTATTACTGGCCTAGCACGATTTCAAATGATTTCAATGATGGCAACAGTTAGGTCATGGCGAGACATTGAGGAGAGTGCCGTGCCGCTTTTGTCTTGTGGCTTCCCCGTTCACCATGTCCCGCATGTCATTTCCGCAGGACCCATAGATGTCAGTCCGGGATGTCCCAAGGTCGGTGTCAGGACTGGAAAGGGCTGCAGGCTTGGCGATCTCTAGACACCAAAAATGGATCAAATTGAATGCCAACCAGGATGGTTTGCTCCCAAAAAAGGACTTAGAGTTGTGATGCCCAAGGGGCCTTACATTTTCATCCAGACCCAGTGGGTAGGTGAACCGACCTGGATTCAGTGTCGATTTTTGGGCTGCAAGAGTCTCTTTCCTGCAGTTCTGGGCTCTGACTGGACTCCAGTTGTGCCCTGCCAATCACTAGGTGCAGCTGCAGTGCCCATCATTTTTTGGAGAGAGACTTCGAGAAGAGAACCTGGATGGTTTGAGATGGTGTCTGGTGGTCTGGGTTTTGAACCTGGTCTGAGATGGTTTAAAGTCATCTTGCGGTTGGCAGGTGGCTGTGACATTTCACAGACGGTCACATGGCGAAGACAGTCAAGTTCGAAGGCCGGAGACCAAACAAAACAGCCACGACATTTTGACTCCTGTTGTTCTCCGTTTTCTTGTTGTGGTAATCAACAGCAATCTTGTTGCGGTAAGGCAAGGTGTACCCGGCTAAACAACTTGTTTTGGGACCCCCAGTCATCCATCATGTCGCCGGGTCCATTTTTGGTACGGCACAGGCGTCGGCATGACCTGTTCGGGATGTTCAGGAGCCATAGAGCGAATCCTGAAGAAGGCTGGATGATCTATTTATATATATATATATACATATAATTATATATATATATGAATGTATGTATTTACACACATATATATATATATATCTTGTTACATGTATGTATATAATCAAAATCTTCTGAGGAATCGCCATTTTGGGTGATTTCCTCAACATTACCGAGGGTTTGGAGGGCATTAGGACGCACTGCCCGAAATGCGGAACAGTTTGCTGCAGTGCTTTCTTGGCCTTTGTCAGGTCGATGGAGTTTCGAATCTTGTCAGCACTCTGATGATCTTCTGGCAGCCTTCCAAAAATAGGGTTTCCGTTCATATTCTAGGTAAATACAGACCTCACCACAACAGTGCCACAACATGACTAGAAATGACAGTTAGCAAGGGTAGCTATCCCCAAAACGCACAACCTTTCAGGTTGACGAATAAATTCAGCCTTGGTATCTACCCTACACATTGCTAGTCACTTTCCCTATTAAAATGGCAATTTTGGGGTATGCACCCTGTTCCATATGGAAGACTGGCTTGGAACTTCCTGGTGGTTTCCGGTCCCAGCATCCAGGAGCATTTCTTGCGACATCGATGGAAAGACTGTGACAGTTGAGTATGATGATGCGAAGACAAAGCCGCAGGCACATTTCCAAAGAGGCTTAAAATTTCGAAGTGCAAGAAGAGCCATGATTTGGTGAGAGCATTTTTGTAACTTTTTATGAATTGAGTTGCGAATATCTATTTTTGTTGGTGATCTCCCCACGTTTGCTGGGTACATCAACACATTTGATTCATGTTATGGAAATGGCAATGATGGCAATGATGGCAATGATGGCAATGATGGCAATGATGGCAATGATGGCAATGATGGCAATGATGTGATTTCCGATCTCATCAGCACAGTTCTTGCCATGTACTTGTATGGAAGATTTCAGTTGGAGCGTGCCTTGTGGATTGCGAATTTCAGATTACATTGTACACTTGTTTTTCAGATCAAGTACGACTCAGCAGGACATGTGGGACAAGATGAAGAAGTGGGCAGATGCGGCTCAGAAAGAGCTCGCCCCATGCCCTGAATAGATAGCAAGAATGCCAAAAGCATGCAGTAGCTGGCAGATTTGGAATGTGACACTACCAGCTAATCTCTCGCAAAGAAGGTCGGCAAACGAGAGAGTGCGTAGAATGGCCAATCCCAATAAGGGTTTGAAACCAGACATGGTGTCACACCTACTGCGCGTTGCTGCTCCAGTTGAAAAGGTCGCAGGATGTCGCAGGAAGACATTGGATTGCCTGGCATGGTCGCGCTGGATCGAATGAACAGCCGGCACATCCCACAATCGGGGGCCCAAATGACATGGCTTATCACTGTTCGCCTGAAGGAAACGTATTTGGAGGCGCACTAACTCTTTTCACATCTTGCTCATTGTAATGATTCGATGTCTCCTACAATCTAGTCGCTCAGAGACAGTGCGGACATGATCTGATTCCAGGATCCAGACTCAAGGCAACCAGGTTTGCGTCTCAATACTCTGTCAGCCGTGCATGTCAGAAGCCGTCAGAGTGAAGGAGAGCCCCAAATCTCACCTTGACTGTTGGATTTTTGCCAAGTCCTTTTGAGAAGAGAGCCTGGAGCCAAGCCGAATCTGAGTGGGATGCGTTGACATTTTCAGTCTGTTGAGCCCCTCAAAAAGCAAGCCTAAGCAAGCAAGAATAAGACTTTCCAGAAACCTTTTGCTGCACTCAGTGAGGTTCTTCAGCTAGTTTGATGTGAACCTGTCTTGAGGCTGGGGATGGGCAGCCAACGGAGCGAGAAGAGATGGCTGAAGAGGTAGTGGAATTAGTGACCTCAACATCTCCAGACTTCGTGCACTCCTTGAGTTGTATTGAGGAAGAAGGGAATGAAAGTCCTGGCTCTGGCTCCGGCCAGGGTGGTTCAGCAGTTTCTTCCCCTCATGTTGAAACCGTGCCAGTGGATGAGCCGTTGGACGAAAAGTTATTTCGCCTGCAGAACCGCGTCATTTCAATGTTGGAGATGCAGAAGCGAAGTCAAGAGCCGCAGAAAGCGCGCAGAAAGCCAACTCAGACCGCAGGGGTTGGAAGAAATGGGTCAGCTGCAATGACCGCAGGGGTCAAGCGACAGGGTCAAGATGCCCCAGTTGTGGCTGAGAGAGAAGGTCAGCTGAAGATCTCCAAGAGCTCCCGAGAGATGCAAGAAAATGTGGAAAGATCACCATCCGCGGAAGCTGATTGGAGAAATACTCCTGGAGGTGCTGTTCAACATCGCAAGAACTTGGCCAAGCACTACAAGGAGCAATTGGAGTTGCTTGAGCATGAGGAGAAAGAGTTGCAGCATCAGATGAATCTTCGTCAACAGCTGAGGCTTGTACTGCATGACGAAGCGCAACAGTGTGAGCGGGCTGAGCGGGCTTGCTTGGAGCCCGAGTCAGAATTGGCCGCTCACAATGCGCATGAAAAGGAGGCCACTGAACAGCTGGTTGAGGAAAACCGACAGTTGGACCTCCTCAGGCGTCAGTTGGAGGAACAGCTCCGGATCAGTGAACAGCGACGTTTACAGCTGGAGCGTGAGAATCAGATGCTGCAGAAGCGGCCCAGTCGACCCGTGGAACCCAACGGTGCCACGGCCGAGCGACGTGCACCCCCTGGGCCTGGTCGCGCACCGGTGTGCCAGAAAGCGCCGGCGCCGGCGGCGTTGCGGACCAAGTCTCCTCGGTCCGAAGCTTAGCAGAAGAGCGGAGTTAGTTGTGAAAGGTGAAACGCATCAAAAAAAGCTACCGTTGAAACAAACATGTTTGAGTAAAGAGCTTGCGAGGGGAAAATATATTATGACATGAGTTGTGTTGTTTTTTTGCCAGCGAGACACTGAGTCCACGGGCTTATTCTCCACCACGACCAAGAGTGACCTCGCCGCAACGTGCCTGGCTGTCTGCTACCAAACAGGAGCTGCACTTAGATCTGGGCATAGTTCAAAACCAAAGCATTGGCCCACAAATCAGATGATGACTCAGCAATTGCGGTTTGGAAAAGAAATCATCGCAATTGTGGTTCCATTCAAACGCAAATTCGGGAGTGACAGCAGCCACTGGCGTGATCCGAGGCCAAGCAATGCGCTCCTCCTCCCCCTTCACCTGCCACCGAGGGTCGTACCTTTGAGGGTCGCGCCATTCTGGCTTCGTTAAAGAGGGGTGGTCTCAAACGTGGCGATTGAACATAGCCCATTTGTAAGTCATAGGGGGTTTTCCATTGCCACGTTTGATTAGCAAAAGGTCAGCTTCGTGCCGGCTTCGAGGACTTTGAGTTGACATTGCATGAATCGATGGAATCTATGGAATCTATGGCCTATAGGACCAGTGAAAGTCGGGATTTCAGGTTTTCTATGATAAAAGATCCATTTTGGGGTATGCCCATGACTATGGACCCTCCCATATGGAAAATGGGTTGATCCGCTGAACTCCGTGGTTTCACAGCCAGGTGGCTCCTCGAACGGTCCCGAAGTTTCAACATCCGCGTCCTGTTCTGTACTCAGTCCGAATGTGCCAGTCAGTGTAAGAGTTGTCCCGAAAAATCAGTTGTTTTGTCATCACTGGGTACAGCTCAAAAAAAAACATGACCCGCCCAAAATGGATAGAACTATTGTGACGTATTACTAACGGATCGATAGTGGTAATTTGGTATATAATCAGTACTGCCAATTGTCTATCTGACAAGGCCCGAGTGCCAGTGCAGCGTGTAAGCCTCGCGCCAAGATCATGTCCATTATGCTGTGAATTGAAGTATATAGTCGATCATGTTGACTTGGGAAATGATTTACTTGGCTCATGATAGAACATAAATTACAGATCATATCAAATCCATATAAATCCTAACTTCAGGATGCAAATTCTAGAGGCAATTTATGAGCGTAATCATCCGAGGCCCACCGCAGCCTGTCTCTGATGGAGGAAATGGCAGTGATTTCTGCGGGATTTTCGTGCGAAAATGGTCATGTTAACAGGGAACATGATTATGAACCATCAAACTTTGGGTCAATTCTCGGAAAAGAAGCTGAGGACATTTTTTCAAAGTTCTTTCCAATAAATTGGTATGGATAGACTTTTTCCATCCTTTCCCATGGTTTTCCCAGAAAAAATGGTAAAACAGGGATACTGGGACACTTTATGTTAGTATGTTGCCTGTTATGGTTTTTATGTTGTTGTTCAATGTTCGTTCCTTGGTGTTGACGTTTTTTGTGTGGGGGATTTTGGGACACTATGTCAATCTGATACTCAAACCTTGCGAACGGTGCGGTGTAGGAATTTGAGCCCCTGTATTTTCTAATCTGTTTGTTGGGCTGTTTCCGCACAAAGCTTTCCACATCCACCCTGTTGATGGTAGGTAGGGTCTTGTTCCTTTGCTTTCTTGAGGGTTTCATTGATTGAGCCGAAACCCGTTTCAAGGTTGTAGTAGATATTGCTTATGATGTCGTTTCTTGATAGTCTCCTTGCTATATATTAAAATACTAGATTTTTTAAAACATATCAACAGTAAAAAATATACTTAAAGAAACAATGCCTATATATATAGTAAGACTAAATAAGATGGCTAAATTTGAATGTGGATGCCATATAATGTGTGCGTGTATCAACTTGAACAGTGGTGATTACAGAAATCCTAGTTCGGGTTATTTGCTCAAAACCTTCGTGAATGTGTGTGGCAAGTGTGGCAAGAAGCAAATGAAATTCCAACAGATGGAAAACAAACTTATGGAGATGAAAAAGCAACGAATGGAACTGTTTATGAACTATGAAGAGGAAGACGCATATTTTGACCTACCAGTAGTACCGCGCAAGGCGGTGGCGGAAGTTTCAAAAATAGGAAACCTATAGGAGAGATTGGTTGTTGTGAGTCACGGATGGCAGAGCGAATCCACTGATGGACCGACAGGTGGTTGGAGTTGTGTTTTTCGGAGTGGTTGCAATGGTTGCAGTGGTCACCTTACCACAACTGCTGGATGTAGTGTGGTGTATTGGTTGTAGTTGTAGTTGCAGTTGTAGCTGTAGTTGTAGTGTAGTGTAGTGGAGCTGTAGCTGTAATGTAGTGTAATTAGGACGTCTGCAAGTGCAGTTGCAGTTGTAGCCGTGGTGTGGTGTAGTTAGTGTAGTGTAGTGTAGTGCAGTGTAATGTCGTGTAGTGTAGTGTAGTGTAGTGTGGTATAGTGTAGTGTAGCCTAGTGTAAGGTAGTGTAGTCGTAGTTGTGATGTAGTGCAATGTACTTAGTGTAGTGGAGTGTAGTGCAGTGTAATTAGTGTAGTGTAGTGTAATGTAGTGTAGTGTAGTATGCGTAGTGTAGTGTAATGTAGTGTACTGTACTGTAGTGTAGTGTGTTGTAGTGTAGTGTAGTGTTGTGTGTAGTGTAGTATGTGCAGTGTAGTGTAGTGTAATGTAGTGGTAGTTGTAGTTGTAGTGGTAGTTGCAGTTGCAGCTGCAGTTGTAGTTGTAGTGTAACCAGTGTAATCAGTGTAGTGTAGTGTTGTGTAATGTAGTGTGGTTGTAGTTGTATTTGTAGTTGTATTTGTAGTTGTAATGTGCTGCAGTGTAATTAGTGTAGTGTAGTGTAGTTGTAATTATAGTTGTAGCTGTGGTAGTGGTGGAGGTAGTAGCAGTAGTAGCAGTAGTAGCAGTAGTAGCAGTAGTAGCAGTAGGAGCAGTAGTAGTAGTAGTAGTAGTCGTGGTGGTAGTGGTAGTAGTAGTAGTAGTAGTCGTCGTAGTAGTAGTAGTAGTACTAGTAGTAGTAGTCGTCGTCGTCGTCATAGTAGTAGTAGTAGTAGCAGCAGCAGCAGCAGCAGCAGTTTTTTTTTTTTGGTTGTTGTTGTTGTTAGTGTAATTGGTTTGGTGTAGTGTAATTAGATGTAATTAGCGTAGTGTAGTGTAATTAGTGTACTGTAATGATTAATGTAGCGTAGTATATTTGTATTTGTAGTTGTGGCAGTAGTGTAGTGTAGTGTAGTGTAGTGTAGTGTAGTGGTGGCTGTAGTTGTTGTAGTCGTAATTGTCTACCTATCTATCTTTCTATCTATCTATCTATCTGTCTGTCTATCTATCTATCTATCTATCTAGAGAACGGAAGGAAACCTGATTTCACAATGGCTTGAATCCTGATTTAACCTCTGTCGTTGTATGGTTCCCTACTATTCTTGGGGAGGTTTGAATCCAAATGTAAGCTTCTCAGGGCGGTGCCCACATAGGCAAGCTTGAATCAAGATTCAAGTATCACATTCTATGCCTGTGCTCTGGTTGCTCTCAAATCTTGATGTTAGCCTGGTCTTTCTGGTGTACATTTGGTTGGTCGTGAATCTGGATGTGAGCTTTGCAACGCATGGCTTTTAAAGGTTTGAATTCAGATTCATTCCTTTCTGGAACCTTTATCTTCAGGATTGAATTCAGATTCATTCCTTTCTGGAACCTTTTCCTTCAGGATTGAATTCAGATTTATTCTTTCTTGGAGCTGTTTTCTGTGGGATTGAATCAGGATTGAATACCACATATGTGTGCATTTTAGGTGAGGAAAGGGATGCTCTTTCGTCATGGCCGTTCCTTTCTCGAGCGTTTAATAATGTTGTACCGCAGACGGGCGGGTAGGCAAGTAGAGTCCGCTGATGACAGAGACAATGCTGCCTTGCATCCTGTGCTAGATGGACGCGGCAACGTGGAGGATGTTGTGCCAGCAGCGCCTGAGCCAAAACCGAAGCCTAGAGTCAACAAAGGCGGAAGCGTTTCAAATGGATTCATTTCCATGGGTAAACATGACTTGAATGCCTGTACAATGGATTTATCTATGGTCACATTGGGTTTTACACCAACTTGAAACTGAGAGGCCCGTCCTGCAGAAATCTTGAATCAGTTGGTTGTGAACAAAAATCAACCCACAGTATGTTTCATTCATGATACAATTAGATGACGCTATGAGCATTGTAATCAATACATATCTTTATACCCCTACTGAATACCACAAGCACTTGGCTAGATTGAACCTTGCAGGTGGGAACAAAAGACGAGATTGGCAGGAATGTGCTAGAGAGGAGATTCCAGCAGATGAGTCTTTGAGAGCTTCGGCACAACGGTGGCTAGCAAACAAGAAGATCTTGCATTCTTCCTTGAGCACTTCGACAGACAAAGGGTGGCGAACACTCATAGCCCGATGTTCCCGATGTGCGGCATGTTCTAAGGCATGGTGTTTTCGACAGCTGCCTCCTTCTATTTGTAACTTTTTAGAACAAGTGCACCTTCCGGGCAGGATTGAGGCAGAAGCTGAATGATCCATGGGAGAGTCTGTTGCAATGGCCAAAGAAGAAGGGGAGCAAAATGATTTGTCCAGACAGCGAAGGTGGAAAGCAGACAGTGCCATGATCGTTTTTTTTCCATTTTTCCATTTGTCATTGGACTTGCTGCCTCCTGAAATTCAGCTGTTTTTCCCCTGCAATGACCTTTTCGCATCTGAGTCGCATCTGAGGTGAAGCGCTTGGACCGCGCGTCCATCTTGGACCACTATCGGTCACGCGGTGCTGGTGCAACTTTCCTGGCTGCTACGTGTGAACACGAACTTCCTACCGGAGATATTGCGATCTTGGTTTATGTGCTTCCAAAGTATAAGTTGGAGAAAGCGGTTGAGTGCCCTAGTGAGATGTCAGCCTGTTTGAAGTTGTCTCTTGCAAAGAGCAGAGCGGATGTGGAGAAGGCTTGCTGTCATCCCCGCACCTGCTGCTACGACTTGCAGACTCACATGTCCTTGAGGCAAAGCTACACATCAGTGTGGGTCACAAAATCTGGTCCAGTTCTCGAAGGGCACAAAGATTTTGTGGTTGGCTGCGGGTGGACAGAGCATTCTCTGTTTGTAAGTGGACTCATCAAGAAGGGCTTCTTCTCCTCTTTGCCCAAGGGGCCTCTTTTGTCACAGCCTCGCAAAAAAGTAAGGGGAAGAGGAAGGGGCAAGCGGTCCCAAGCTACCAAGCGTATGCTTGGACCGCCTGAAGCCAAGTCTCATGTAAACCAGGTCACGTTGAAACGAGATGTTGAGATGGAACGTGTGCTCTTCCCTGGCATGCCCGCCACTGCAGATGAATCAGCGTTTTTTCACATGAGAGGCGCTGAGGATGACGAGGATGCCCTCTGCTTGGCTCCCCTTGTTCGCGGAGGCCGTTGTTCCGCAAGAGGACCCACGGGAATTATTGCAAGCAACACAGCCATGAGCTGCGCAAGCCGGAGAAGAAGCAGGCATTGTGGGAGTGCTTGGATGAATCTTTTGGCAATGCTGCCCGTTGGGAAAAGGAGCAGATGGAACTTGCCCTGTCCCTCTCTCTAGAGGAAAGCGAGGAGCTGCTCAAAAAGAGGCAAGCCAGCAGACGCAAAATTGAGGAGCTACTTCGTCCAGAAGGTTTAGAACCTGTGGAAACCCAGGCCGATGGAACATGCCAATTTCTGGCAGTGCTTTTTTCGGCTGGTATTCCTTTAGATGCATACCAGTTCCGACAACAAGTAGTAGATTATTTGCGAACTTTGCCTGGTGAATTTGCAGAGAAAATCGAAGCGAAATTTGGAAGCTTCGCAGTGTACTGCGACACCATGAGCTTGCCAGCCACATGGGGAGATGAGTTAACTCTCACAGCAATGTCTCACCTTCTTTTGAGACCCATCGAAGTCATATCCGATTGTGACTTGGAGCCCCGTCGAATTTTCGAGCCACCCCGAATCATTTGTGAGGAATGTTGGGGCGCAAAAATTACCATTTGTCACACAGGCCAAAACCACTTTGAAGCAACGGCTCCACTTGAAGTGGGTGAGCCCGGTGCGCCACCTGTGCCTAAGGCAATCAAACGCGAGGTTTGACGGTGGAAAAAGATGTTGCTCAGACAGTTTCCGCGCACCACCATGGAAAACACCTTCAAACAAACATTCAAAACACGATTTGACCCTCACGGGGACCATTTGATTCTGCTTGAAATGAATCGAGATTTTAGCCGGTCAAACCTTCCGGTTAAAAACCACAGGACTTAAATTCAGATCCACCGTATGGGAGAAGCAGGGGAGTGTCCCCCGCGAATGGACGGCTTGAATCCTGATTTAACCTCCTCTGAATCGTGTTTCCAGCCTCACCCGATCTATCTATCTATCTATCTATCTATCTGTCTATCTGTAAGCTTGAAAACGCAGCAATTCTGCGAGACGTCCTCAATTTTTGAACTTGACAACATCAAAAACGAAAAAAATCTGTGAGACTTCCTCAATTTTTGAACTTGACAACATCAAAAACGAAGCAATTCTGCGAGACTTCCTATTTTTTTTAAGTTGACAACATCAAAAACGAAGCAATTCTGCGAGACGTCCTTCAAAAATGGAAAGTTGAGTGCAGAGCTGACGGCCTCGTACCAATGCGTTTTGCGATTTTTCCAGTCCACCTGTCTAAACTACTGCGCCTGCCACGAAAAAGTGATGCCAGGTCATACGAAGTGCTGCACCTGTCACGCAAAATCATCTTAGCAAACCTGAAGATCTGATGCTCCAAAATGCAACCCGTCTCAGGAAATCAGCGCCCGGACCTCCTAACAGCTCTGATGAACATGTTTCTTGTACTGCGCCTGCCACGGAAAATGCATCTTTGCAGATCTTCTTCAGAGGTTCCACGTTTTCTCACTTTTGGCAAGGTGCACAATCCCTTGCGCCTGCCACGCAAAACGACATCTGAACGTCAAAAAAGTGGTCCAAACATGTGGTGTTTTTAACGTTTTTGCTTCGAAATGTGCTTCGCGCCACAACGGCGTGCACTTTTTCGACATCTCAACTTCCAAAAGTGGTCCGAACCTGTCAGTTTTTGCACTTTTGACTTCGAAATGTGCTTCGCGCGACAACGGCATGCACTTTTTCGACATCGCAACTTCGAAAAGTGCTCCCGAATGTGAGGTATTTTTAGCTTTTTCAGTTGCAAATGTGCTTCGCACCACAACGGCGTGCACTTTTTCATCATCTCAACTTCGAAAAGTGCTCCGAAGCTGCGGTGTTTTGTACATTTTGACTTGGAAACGTGCTTCGCGCCACAACAGCGCGCACTTTTTCATCTCTCATCTGGCCAGCTGGCTCCGCACCCGCCGCTTTAGCGAGCCTACTTTTCGACCCTCCGGAGCCACAACGTGCTTCGCGACTTTCCTACCTTTTCGGGCACGTGGATCTTCTTTCTTCTGAGACTTTCTCTTTTTGATCTTCTTTCTTCTTCTCTTCCTCTCCTCTCCTCTCCTCTCCTCTCCTCTTCTCTTCTCTTCTCTTCTCTTCTTTGACTCTTACCACCTCTGCTTTTCCATCTGTCCATATTGTCGGAAGTTTGACTTCTAAACTTCCTTCGAGTAGAGTTGAAGGAACATCTGAAAACCCTCCCACGTAATGAAAGACACAAAATAAAGGATTTTGAGAGGTTAAGAAACCTTGCCAATGGACAAGACACTCATGAAGGAATGAGTGCTTTTTTTATGGTTATAAAGGAGCTGGAAGAGGAGGAAAGGGAAAATGAAAGCCAACCTGAACCCGAAAACTGAAAGAGACCCCAAAAACGGATGCTATTTACTTTTAAAAACTGTGGATGTTGTAAGAAAGAAATGACTAATACGAAGGGGCTGGATTTTGTGATGAGATATGTAATTGCAACCTGCACTGTTCAAAATGAATGGATTTGTATGATAAGGAACGCATATACATAAATTTCAATTATCACTTTGACTATTTTAAAGATAAAGAACTGACAAAAGTAGAAAAACAAATGTACTTCTTTAAAACAAGGATGGAGAAATCACCAGTCTATTTATCCAACACCAACCGAACAAATGTTGGAGTAATGAAGAGAGAAATAGATGTTTTAATGGACACCCATGAACTAAAGGTAATATTTCAAAATAATAGAATATATCTTCAAACGATTAAATCTTTTATTAAAAACCATTGGAAATATACTTATCATATATATTCTAAAGAACTTCCACGACCTTAATTTCATCAATCACAATATGCAACAAAGATGTTGGTGGTTTCCTAATGTTGAACGGACTTATATGTTTACAAATAGGGAATTCAAAATAAAAAACATTTTGGAAATTTTCTTGCGCGAATACACCGAAAAACTGTTCAATGGTTATGAGACATACTGTAATCAAGACAAAATAAAAGAGCACCTAAAAAAATGATAAATACTTAAAAGACAAAATACCTATATATAGTAAGAGAACAAATGCCAATGCTTGGAGTTAGTGAAGAGGAACTGAAAAGAGATAGAGAAAATTAATGAATTTTACAAAAGAAAATCCTTATCCTGATTATAAATTTATAGAATATGACCTAATACTTAAGCAAGAACAGTCTTTAGAGCAATACGCAGAGTATGGAGAGATAAACCACGACCTAATGAAAGAAATTTATTAAAACATATTTGACAAAGACTTAATCAGGAAACACGGTGAGAGGATACACCACAGAGGAGGAAAGACAGCATTGCAACAAAACTATTCTACACTACACTATTAACAGTATTGAAACATTTGATTGACCAACGAAGCCTTGATAGAGACACAATCATTTTAGTGTTCTACAACATCAAAACGATTGTTTCTCAATGTTGGGATGGAATAGGTGGAGATGATGAAAAGCGGAGACACTGAACCTAACGATTAATTCATAATATCTTAATAAGTTATATTATGAAGTCAAACACAAACATAAAACTACAACAGTCTAAACAATTATCCCCCTCATCCAAACCAAACAATCAGAGTCAAAGTTAGGGGGAAATCTGACCCAGAAACCCTACAGTACCACATAAACATCAAAGGTAAAGAAGAAACATTGAACAACAACATAAAAACCATAACAGGCAACATACTAACATAAAGTGCCCCAGTATCCCTGTTTTACCATTCTTTTTCCCAGCTTTTCCCGCCAGGACAAATAGGTCGAGCAAAGATGAACTCGCCAGCGCCTTCTTTGGGATCCACACCAGAGGTCTGTCGGGGAACTGGTGATGGAACTTACAGCTGGGGTCCGGAATACCACAGTTCCACAGGTAAGTGTAGATTCGTAGATAGATTAATACAGATTCCCCAATATACCAAATATAGTTAATTACACTACCATAGATAATTTCCAAATCTACCGTAGTGTGTATGCACAAATTGATATTTTGTATAGAACATGGGTGACTTGAATTTTGGACATTCATGGGTTTGGGGTATCCCTGGCAGCTTGATGGTGCATTGAATCCAACCATGCCCGGGACTCTCCGGATCATTTTTGCCAGTTTGAGCATCGTGCCAGGATGGCATGCCATATCCGGACGGAAGCCTCAGTGCAAGATTGCCAAGCCCAACCAGAGAGTGGCTGGGCTTAAGGGATCTGTCTTGCCGAGTGGACAAGGATGAAATGGATGAAACGCAGATGCCCTTGGAGCGAAGATTTCATCCTGCACAGCAACCCCCAAAAAGATTGAAACAACATTTGCAACTATTTTGCTAGGATTTGGCCAGTCTATCTTACCTTCTTAGGGGTGATTATAATGGAGGACTTGCAGTCATTACCAGTCAGCTGAGGAAAGCCTCTGGTGCTTTCAGCTCACCACAGCCGGTGGTGGAAGGTACCTTGCCTAAGAGCTGGGACCCTCTGAGGGAAATCTGCTTGGGGCCGCCTAGGCCATGATGTTCCTCCACTTCCCTTGCCGCTCTCGTATCGCGAAGTGAAACCATCGGAACAGAGGCCAAACCAGCTGAGCCAGCTGAGTTGGGGAACATTTTCCATATGCTGAAGGCTGATTGGATTTATTTGTCCCAGACATTTTCAAGCGACCAGCGACCCGAATCCCTTCAGGCCTGTGCCTATGGCGGTTCCGTCAAACATGGCGACCACCTGAGAAGATGCGCCGGGTTTGCCAAAGGGCTATTTGGAACGATGCTATTTGCACATTTGCAGACAAAATCGAATAGTTGCTGGCATCGTTGACAGTTGATGTGCTCATCTCAGCCTGCATCTTTCTCGGATTTCTTTGCACTCGAGGTGATGGCTTGCGAGACACCATCTTGGGCGGCAGTTCAGTCTGGAACTGAGTCCACCGAGTCCACCGAGTCCACCGAGTCCACCGAGTCCACCGAGTCCACCGAGTCCACCAGTTCAACGCGGTTAGCTGTGCTGATGGAATCTCGGAATCTTGAGGCACACTTACACAGTGGCTGGGCAGGTCACAAGCTCAGTGTTTGACTGTTCAATGCACCATCTTCAGACAATGCAGGAGAACTACTTTGAGATATGCACTTGCTGAGGAAGAGGCCCGAACTCTGGAGCAACTTGGCTCCGTTGGTCCAGTGGATTCCAATCTGAATTGTATTGCTATGTATTGCTTGTATTTGCTTATGAGAGTTCTTGTTGGAAGTTGTCCAACTCTGATCCTTGGCTCCAGGTGTCAAAAAGCTGGGTCGCTTTCTCAGAGCAGCAGTTCACCACTTCCGAGAACATGAGAATGTTGGCTGTGGAGGCCTCCCAGACGTTTGGGTCCTGGCCGTGGTCTGGTCGCATTCTTAGTTTATCAGTTTATCGTCCCAATTGAAGGTTTTTGAAGGAAGATGCCAGGAATAATATGTTTTCGTCAAATACAAACAGTCCTTTTTGAAAAATCTGAATGTATAGTCAGGCACAAAAGGTTCAGACTCACGTTTCGATTTACTACTATGACTATGTCTATATTTTAGGAATTTAATTTTACCTGAGGCATATCGTTTTTTTCTTTGGGGGTTACTCAAACTAAGGATTTAACGACCCCCAGAAAATGGTCGCCGAGGTATGGCCAACTTTAGACCTGCCACCAATCTCGCCTGAGCTCATCGGCCAGGCTGGGACATGGAAAACCACCAAGGGGAAGGGTAGCTATTTGGATGGGATTAAGAAGCCATTGGATCAGTCAATTTATCAAATGATTTTAATATATTTTAAGGATAGTCAATTATAGTTCCCCACATCTTTGTGTGGGGTTCTTGTTTTTGATTCTGTATCCCGGGCTCCTCCTCCGCCTTCTCCTCCTCCGCCCTCCTCCACACTTTGTCACCACACACTTGTCCACACACACTTTGTCACCACACACTTTGTCACCACACATTGTCAACACACACTTTGTCCACACACACTTTGTCCACACACACTTTGTCACCACACATTGTCAACACACACTTTGTCAACACACACTTTGTCACCAAACACTTTGTCCACACACACTTTGTCCACACACACTTTGTCCACACACACTTTGTCACCACACACTTTGTCCACACACACTTTGTCACCAAACACTTTGTCCACACACTCTTTGTCCACACACACTTTGTCACCACACACTTTGTGAACACACTTTATCAACACACACTTTGTCAACACACACTTTGTCACCAAACACTTTGTCCACACACACTTTGTCCACACACACTTTGTCACCACACACTTTGTCCACACACACTTTGTCACCACACACTTTGTCCACACACACTTTGTCCACACACACTTTGTCACCACACACTTTGTCCACAAACACTTTGTCCACAAACACTTTGTCCACACACGCTTTATCAACATACACTTTGTCACCACACACTTTGTCCACACACACTTTGTCACCACACACTTTGTCCACACACACTTTGTCCACACACACTTTGTCACCACACACTTTGTCCACACCTTCGCCACTTTGCGTGGCAGGCGTGGCACAAACTCACATCAACCGCCGTTTTGCGTGGCAGGCATGGCACAGATGGCACTGGGTGGCGCCCTTGGGCCGGGCTTGGGCGCCTGTGACGCCGCGCCACTTTGCGTGGCAGGCGTGGCACAACCTGACATCCACCGTCGTTTCACGTGGCAGGCGTGGCACAAAGTCACATCTACCGTCGTTTTGCGTGGCAGGCATGGCACAGATGGCACTGGGTGGCACCCTTGGGCCGGGATTGGGCGCCTGTGACGCCGCGCCACTTTGCGTGGCAGGCGTGGCACAACCTGACATCCACCGTCGTTTCACGTGGCAGGCGTGGCACAAACTCACATCAAACGCCGTTTTGCGTGGCAGGCATGGCACAGATGGCACTGGGTGGCGCCCTTGGGCCGGGCTTGGGCGCCTGTGACGCTGCGCCACTTTGCGTGGCAGGCGTGGCACAACCTGACATCCACCGTCGTTTCACGTGGCAGGCGTGGCACAAACTGACATCTGCCGTCGTTTTGCGTGGCAGGCGTGGCACAAGTCACATCTACCGTCGTTTTGCGTGGCAGGCATGGCACAGATGGCACTGGGTGGCGCCCTTGGGCCGGGATTGGGCGCCTGTGACGCCGCGCCACTTTGCGTGGCAGGCGTGGCACAACCTGACATCCACCGTCGTTTCACGTGGCAGGCGTGGCACAAACTCACATCAAACGCCGTTTTGCGTGGCAGGCATGGCACAGATGGCACTGGGTGGCGCCCTTGGGCCGGGCTTGGGCGCCTGTGACGCTGCGCCACTTTGCGTGGCAGGCGTGGCACAACCTGACATCCACCGTCGTTTCACGTGGCAGGCGTGGCACAAACTGACATCTGCCGTCGTTTTGCGTGCCAGGCGTGGGACAGATGGTACTGGGTGGCGCCCTTGGGCCGGGATTTGGCGCCTGGGGCGCCGCGCCACTTTGCGTGGCAGGCGTGGCACAACCTCACATCCACCTTCGTTTCAGGTGGCAGGCGTGGCACAAACTGACATCTGCCGTCGTTTTGCGTGGCAGGCGTGGGGCAGATGGTACTGGGTGGCGCCCTTGGGCCGGGATTTGGCACCTGGGGCGCCGCGCCACTTTGCGTGGCAGGCGTGGCACAACCTCACATCCACCTTCGTTTCACGTGGCAGGCGTGGCACAAACTGACATCTGCCGTCGTTTTGCGTGGCACAACTTGATATCCACCTTCGTTTCACGTGGCAGGCGTGGCACAAACTGACATCTGCCGTCGTTTTGCGTGGCAGGCGTGGGACAGATGGTACTGGGTGGCGCCCTTGGGCCGGGATTTGGCGCCTGGGGCGCCGCGCCACTTTGCGTGGCAGGCGTGGTACAACCTCACATCCACCTTCGTTTCACGTGGCAGGCGTGGCACAAACTGACATCTGCCGTCGTTTTGCGTGGCAGGCGTGGGACAGATGGTACTGGGTGGTGCCCTTGGGCCGGGATTTGGCGCCTGGGGCGCCGCGCCACTTTGCGTGGCAGGCGTGGCACTTGGTGACATCCACCTTCGTTTCACGTGGCAGGCGTGGCACAAACTCACATCCACTGTCGTTTTGCGTGGCAGGCGTGGCACCAGCTTTGACACACCCTCTTTCACACACCACTTTGTCACACACCATCTTTCGCACACCATCTTTCACACCCAACTTTGTCACCCACCATCTTTCACGCACCATCTTTCACACACCACATTGTCACCCACCATCTTTGACACACCCTCTTTTACACACCATCTTTGTAACACACCATCTTTCACACACCATCTTTTACACCCAACTTTGTCAAACAGCATCTTTGACACACCAAGTTTCACACACCGCTTTGTCACACACCACTTTGTCACACCATCTTTCACCACACCATCTTCCACACACCATCTTTCACCACCCCATTTTTCACACACAACTTTGTCACACACCATCTTTGACACACCATCTTTCACACAGCACTTTGCCACACACCGTCTTTCACACAACTTTGTCACATGCTCTCTTTCACACAGGACTTTCACCCACACCATCTTTCAGCACACCATCCTTCACACACCACTTTGTCACACACCATCCTTCACACACAACTTTGTCACACACCGACCATCTTTCGCCACACCATCTTTCACACACCACTTTGTCACACACCATCTTTCACACACAACTTTGTCACACACTCTCTTTCACACACAACTTTCACACACGCCATCTTTCACACACTGCTGTGTCACACACACACACCATCTTTCACATTCCACTTTGTCACTCACAACTGTTTTAACTTCTCGATCCTTCACCGCCTCCTTTCCCCTAACCTTCTTTCCCCGTCCCTGCTACAACCTTTCATGCTTATTATTGGAAGAAGTTGACTTGTGGGGTTATCCGGTCCTTTAATTTTTTTTCAGCATTTCAAGGGCATTTTGGGCATATGAATACTGCACGTTTCTCTGGTTTCAAATCTTGATTCAATGGGGAGTTGACCAGCGCTGCAGGCTCCGCCATCTTGGCATGGGGATTCTGACGGTCCTTCTGCTGAAATCTGCTGAAAGGTGGAAACTTGTGGAAACTTGTGGAAACTCAAAAGGGCAAGCTGCGGCAAGCTGGAACTCCTTTCATTTCAAGGTTAGTCAAAGATTACAGACCAGTCTCAAGTCGTTTGTGAGCCCTTGACGCAGCTACCAAGGTCACTATGTCAGCTCTGGAGTACAGGAGTGTCACGTGTCAGTTCTGCTACGAAGATACCAGCTGTGTGCATCCAGAAATGGGGGGCAGCTACCAGGAAGGGATGATGAACTGGTTGATTTGAAGGTTCCCTCGTCGGACACAGCCACAACTAGCCACTGGTTTCTCTGGACGGCGCAGCGCACAGGAAAAGGTTGTGCTTGGTCCTGACCCTTCCGAACGTCGCCGACTGAGGGATCATCCCAACTGGTGAGCGCTTCAGAATCGTTGACACTGCCCTAAATGGGTCACCACTTGTATACTTGGATACAGACGGTATCCATGGTTACTCAAGACTTTCTCCATATTTCTCAAGACTTTCTCAGCATTTCACAATTGGAGTGTCCTTTCAGCACCGCAGTTCTCAAGTTGTTTTAGGCCTGGCGCAGCAGCGAATCAATAGATCACTGGCTCGCATGGAGCTCAGTGGACCCCAAGATTGGTTGCTGCTGACGACGAGGACGATGACGACGATTTCGATGATGACGACTACAGATAACGGTGATTAGCATGCTGATATATTCTGATGAAGATGATGCTGATGAAGATGAAGATGAATATGAAGATGAATATGAAGAAGAAGAAGACGACGAAGAAGAAGAAGAAGAAGAAGAATGAGAAGAAGAAGAAGAAGACGAAGAAGAAGAAGAAGACGAAGAAGAAGAAGAAGACGAAGAAGAAGAAGAAGAAGTAGAAGACAAAGAAGAAGAAGAAAAAGAAGAAGAAGACGAAGAAGAAGAAGAAGAAGACGAAGACGAAGACGAAGAAGAAGACGAAGACGAAGAAGAAGAAGAAGAAGAAGACGAAGAAGAAGAAGAAGAAGACGAAGAAGAAGAAGAAGAAAAAGTAGAAGACAAAGAAGAAGAAGAAAAATAAGAAGAAGAAGAATAATAATAATAATAAGAAGAAGAATAAGCATAAAAATAAGAATATGTTGATGATGATGATGATGATGATGATGATGTGAAAATTATGTGACATATGTGATACATTACTGGGAGTTGCTTTTTGTTTCGCTTGCAACCCAGCTGGTAGAACCGAGTCATCGCCTGAGGCTCATCTTCTGCTGCGAACTGCAGAGTCAGCCCCCACAAGGCGTTTCTGGTCTCCACCCGAGGGGGGAAATACTGTAACTGAAATAACCTGGAAAACTACGGAAAACTACGGGATTTAGCGAACAAATATCGATGAGCTCGAACCAGCAAGACAAATATACAACCAACTAGACCCTATGCCCGAGTGCATCTGTGTTGTCTGGAAAATTTTCCTTGAACTATGGACCCACCCCTTACTGACACTCACAGCCAGCGACGAAGGACAGGCTGCACGCGATTCTCTGAGTCAATTTTTTATAACCTTTCAAACTTACTTAGGCCAAAGTGAACCAGTTCTCCAGTTCTAATTTTCTCGTGCCAGGATGGCGAGCGTCGGGCTTCACCCGGCCCTGCAAGGTGTGAATCCACAAATCCAGCAGATCCCTGGAGCATCCCCCGCCATGATAAGAGGGGCTTATGAAAGGATTCCTTTCATTTGAGCTGTTGGACTTGGGGTATGCTTTGAAGGACTGATCAATTCACCTTAGATATGGCCCTAAAAAAGGAGTTCCATTTGAATCACGATCTATTATTTTCATTGATTATCTAATCGCTATGAGCTATGACAGCTATGAATGAGTCATATCAGCGGCGCTCACTTGCTCCAGGGGATCTTCCCCATCTTCGTTGATTCGTTCATCCTCCACACCGTTGGTCGGGCAGTCAAGGCGGCGCGGGCATGTGGACAAGGGGGACACTGCGGACACTGTGGACAAAGCCGTCCGTCAGTTTGAAGTCTTAAGGATTGTTTAGGAAGAAACAGAAATGACAGTGGGTACCAAGTATAAATTGTTTACGAACATCCCTGGCTTGTTTGATTTGAATATCTTTGGAAGATCCCAGGATAGTTGCGCATCTCGGCTGAGGCGTCCTGTTTATGCAGTCAAGCCTTCGACTCGTGTGGATGCTCGGGGCAGGGGACCTAGAGGACCTAATAGCGTGATGCACTTGTACAAGGGATTTTCGCTTGCCAGGTTAGATCCAGAAACACTGCCGTGTTTCTGGGGTTTTTCACTTGTGATGTCAGGTCGGGAGGATCATTTTGCCTCGCAAAGGCAATGACAATTAGTTCCTTTTCCATGCACGGCAGTGCGAATAATCACAGGGCTTTGCGAATCGCGTCTGCGCAAGCAGAGCAAAGCCACATTTCCCTCGTTTCACTCCGATACCAGGGGTGGAATCGGCCAAATGCCACAGGAACATCAGGGCAAAAAGTTGCTTCAGGATGCTTCATCTGCAGTAAGAAAATTGATACTGGATGATTTCATATGTCCATAGCAGCGATGCAACATCCAAACATATCCAAAACTGAAACTGAACTGAGACAGGACTGACTTTCCTGCCAGCTGAAAAGTTGCTGATGTAGCCTTGGGGCTCATGGCAAAAAAGTAGATACTTTCAGTGATACAGAGTGTTGATGCAGAGCAAACCACCAGAATCGATCTCAAGGCCGTCTGAAGAAGCTAAAAAGGCATTTAACATCATTCAACATCCTTCAACGGTTTGGTACGTTTGATCCAACTAAGCCAATGGTTTCAATGGTTGCCTTGTGGAATTCTGAAGTGACTTAAGATAGCCGTATGCTAGTCTTCACTTCGAACTCATCAGCAGAGTCTTCACCAGTGCGGTGATGAAAGCTGACGGAGAGGAGGGGTGGCCTTTTTTGAAGCACCGGAGATGGGACATATTGAGACTCACAGCTTCGGTCAGTTCTGGTTTTAAATAGACTTAAACGTACTTAAACATACTTAAACAATATTTTATAAACAATTATATAAATATATAAATTACAGATATAGATGTACGTTATATATATACATAGAGAAACTCCATGTTTCTGTTGGATATTAAAGTAGAAGACACCTGAGGGGTTGCAAGGTACAAAGGTTTGACTGGCTGCAGCCGTCAGGTTCTCTGCCAGGAGCAGGAAACGCCACCACCGCAGAAACCCAGGTGCTTGGTCGTTTCTTGAAAACCCACTGGGGCCCAAGAATGACTTGCTGAACTTGGTGAATTTTTATGGAATTTTACGAATTTTGAGTTCAAAGATTCTGAAAAAAAATCTATTAACTACCTGGGCGCGGCTCAACCACCCAGCAGTCATAGCAGGTCTTTGTTTCAACCTGTCGCCATTGCGAAATCGACAGGCGAGAGTGGAAATGTTTGCTCTGCTCCAAAAAGAACTCGGAGGAGACGCGGCAAGAACTCCCAATGATTCAACTGAGACCTACACCCCCAAGATATACCGATACGAGGGTCTGCCCCAGTTATGATGAATTGCAATCCAGTTTCAATGGGTTACACTGAAACTAACCAAGTTATATAGAGTCATGGGCTATAAGCCACTTGCAATGGGTTACAACCCAGTTGTAACGTTCCGAACCTCGGCAGGACAACAAGGTTTGTCAAGTCTGCGGCCGACAACGAGGCCACAATCCAAAGGAGTCAGAAGCCTAGCGCCACAGGAGCTATCCAATGGGGGATATATACCTATAAACGTGGCGATTTTACTGGTGAAAATGATGATAGTCCATGGGAAGTGGGGATGCCTACCAGGTGTAAATGCTGGGATGTGTAGCTACCCCAGCCTGGGTTGAAATGGATCAAATCCCAGTCAAATGAGACGAAAGAGCCCAGAGCCCAGAGCTCATTCCGTTGTTCTAAAAAAGACATCATCAAGCTATGATATCAACATTGGTTCCCTGCAGCCCTACGCCCCAATTGTATCCAATTGTCCCTTTTTGGATGCAAGGTATGAGAAGCGCCTGCAGGAGATCCGAAGCTGGAATGATGAGGAGCCGCCTCCAATGAAATAAGAAGTTCATGTTGGAACCACGATAATTCCATAATCTGACATGGTGACTCGCCTCCAAATGACAAGTCCAAAGGAGAAAGAGGAGGGAAGCATTGCAGACTACTGTGGCTTGTTTTTCGGTCCAAAACTTAGCTGCTGTGAGTGATTGGCAGGCTGAAGGCGCTGTTTGGAAGTTATATTATATAATAATATATATATATTTAAAATATACATATTATATATATATATTATATACATTATATATATATTATAATATATATATATATTATATTATATATATAACATTATATATATATTATATCATGTGTAATATAATATAATATTATATATATATATTATATCATGTGTACAATATATATATATATATGTATATATATAATATACACATGTATATACATATTTGTATACACGCATATCAGAGCAAGACCAATGCGTGCTTTCCTATGACCCCCCATGGTTTCTAATCATTTTATCCAACATTGCCTGTCCTGTCATCCCGGAGAGACCAACAGGTGCGTTTCTGCTGAGGCTTAATCATACTGGCGCTGATCCTTGCAGTGCTCACTTGGGCGTACTACCAGGACAAGGAGGTGGCGGCTGTTGGCGCTGGCCATCATTGATCAACCAATCAGTTCCGGAGAGTTTATGCCGTTCAATGGGACGGCTATCTTTTGTTTCTGCTGCATTGTATGGCTCTGCATATGGTTGTTTTAATGGATGAACATACCAATGCCATCCCCCTGATGGCCCTAGTATTAAACATTGCCTAAATGGGTCCCAATATAGTGGTTTCTGGGGGTATTCAATTTTAGGGGGAAAAGATTGCTAGACTCCTGAACTTGGGTGCTCTGCCAGGAACATATGAGATCAATGAACGATGAAGAGCTCTGAGCGACGCTTGGAATGCTAATGACAACTGGTGCCCCTTCCCGTTTGGGAATGTCCAAGACGCAGGGATACCCACAATCCCACGTTGGACAAACTCACTCCAGTCAAAGTAGCAGAAGGAAGAGGGACATTGCCAGTACACTTGCGGCTGCAACACTGCAAGTGTGGATAACGAATGATAACGAATTCAATCTCGGTCCAGGCTTAATCTCAATCTAGAGGAGCACAAACCACAGCCTTGGATAAAAAGTGTGGGATGGAAGGGATCTCTGATTGGCCATTTGCAGCTTTTGCATGGGCCCACAACAGCATTTACGGAAGAGCGAAGAGAATTGTATGACAGGATTCATGCTCAGATTGCGTTTTCACATTCTTGCTGCAGTGTTTCTCTTTTCTTTCAACATCATAGTCGTGCTTTCATGCTTCCCAGTAGCTTTGTTGGGACCAGAAATTCGCAGGGCCTGTCTGGTTGAAAGCTTCACTGAATTTCGCTGATTTTAGTCGAGCAGTCGAGCAGGTCTTACACATGTTACGTCCATGTCGCCGAAAGCGTTTTGCTCGAGCTAAAAAGCTTGCTAGAGTAAACCGGCGAGCCATCCACAAGCAGAATCTTCCATCATCCATAGGCCTCGGAGACTTTTGTTGATTCTAGGTGCTTCATGATGCGCATAACCGCCTTTTGAAAGGATAGAAAAAAGGTTCTCCAAAAGCCTGGAATTTGACAGCTTCATTTTTCATTTGCAGCAACGCTTTCCAGCCTTTACAAGCTTGGTGGTAGCCCAAAGGATGCTCGCTGGGTAGCGTTGCATGCACCTGACCGACGGGGGGTGCTTCTGCATAGTCCTGCAAGTGGCGAGCAAACTTATGGGTGCCCCAAGATCCCAATCATTCGCCGTGCAAGGCGCGGGCTTTGTATGGTTTTGTGATTAAAAAAACAGATGCAGCAACACAAAAATGGGCATTTCCAGTGGGAAATGGGCATTACCAGTGGGAAGATCCTCTTCCAGACCCAATTTTTTGGGTTGCATGCTATAGTCTTTAGCATTCTTGTCGATCAGAATTTCCCAAACTGAACCCTGCGCACATGTTGCAGGTGGATTGCGCTGACCTCAGCACTTGTGAAAGCATCTGGGTTTGTCATGGTCTGTTTGAAAATAGGGTACCCCATGCCATCCGCTGGTTAATCATCGCTGTCCAGTTTTCGACCCATAGAGACTCAGGGGAATGTCAAAGCAGAGTGAATTGGCCCCGCGCTCACACTCTTTTCACACAGGCCCGTGCTTTCTATTTCCATCATATTTGGGATGCTGATCCCAATGGAAGGGTTGAAACCACTAGCAGACTAGCATTGAACAACAACTTTCTGCAGGCGATCAGCAGGAGCCTTAGGGAAGCTTTTTTGGGACTTGTCTTCGAAGAATCTGTTTTGACTGTTTGAAAAACCTGCCTGATTTGCCTGAAACTTTTTGAAGATTGACACGAAACCGCGCTCAAAAGGATGGTGGAAGCCCGTGGTTTCCTGTGGATTTTCCCTCTCTCGCCCCAGTGAAACTTGCGGATTTCAAGAGGGTTTTTCGCCTGACAAGGCTTGAATTTCCGGATGAGGAGAAGCCCATGGAGGAAACATGGCACGTTAAGGTTCCAAGAGAGTGATCATGGTTTTCCAATTCCTGGTGATGAGAGGGGATTTATCAGCCCAGTTACCTAATCATTCAACCAATACTAAATGAGCAGTACCCAAATACCAAAGTGCATTGTACAAATGACCGCCCAATTATTTCCCAATTTTTGCCCAGGAGTCAGGGATTGTCAGGGGATTTCTTGGGAACCCCAGCTGTCCACCTGTCCGCAGACCCAGGAACACTCGCCTTCTCTGTGCCAGTCTGAGTTCGTCCATCCAATTTCAGCGGACAGGCCACTGGGATCAACCATAACCTCCATAATTCATTTTTATAAAAGACCTTAGAATGCACATAAAAAATCATCTAGGTTACAATACACATCAAACCACAGACCTCCAATCATGGGTCACGGATGATATCACACATATATATATATATATCACAATATATATATATATATTATAATATATATATATATATATTATAATATATATATGATATACTGTACATCATGATTAACATGACCTTACCATAAACCTGCATCCCTAGGTGTTTTTGAAGCCAAGGCTTGGTGGAGTGCCTGGGGCACAACGGCCTCATGAGCTCCGAGAGCTGAGCAGCGAAGTGACCAACCCGTCATGGGGCCCCAAAAGCTGGATGATTTTTGGATGGTTTGGATGGTTTATAGAGGAAAAACCCGTGAACATGGATGATTTCGGGTGACTTTTAGTACTTTTTAGGACACCTCCATCGAACAATTGGGTGTGCTATATCATATTTAGGGGTGTATTTGGTAGGATTTCTTCTTGCTCAGCACATGTTTGGGGGATTACCTCAGCACTGGGTGAGTATAGGTTTGAAAACCAACCATTTTAGATGCTGATGATATCACTGATGTATGTAAACATGTGGTATATATATATAAATAAATAAATAAACATGTGGTACATATATATATATATAAATAAATAAATAAATAACAAAAGTAAGTAATAATGATAAGTATATAGATACGATTTAGATTCTTAGATTCACAATAAGATATACAATGAAGAATAGGGGAATATGTTGAAATCTCCATATCGGGCTTTGAGGTTTTGTTTTGACGCATAGAATGAGAAGTGCAGCGTCCAAAATGAGAGTCATTTGGCTTGCTGGTATGCATTTTGGTTGAAATTTCGAATCTCTATGAGACGTTCCGCCACCCTTGTCAATATCGGGCAATCCAGAGAAGGAAAGATGAGTTGGCTCCGAATCAGGTTTTGTTCAGTACTCAATGAACATTGTCAAATTCTTATTAGTATTTTTTAAACATAATTTTTATGTGGTAGCCCTTTCAGGCCATCGCGAACAGCAACTAGGCAATATAGCAAAAACACTAGGGACAACAATCGAAACAGTATTCAACTAAGGACGCTCAGATTCTGTGTGAAACTATCAGATTGGCCAGCTGCCATAGCATCATGTCGGCACTGTGCCATGGATCGTTGACATTTCAGGTACCTCGCGAGCCGTCTTGGCCGTCTGATGGACCTATGCTCGGGGCCAAAGCCGTGCAAACAAGTGGCAAGCAGATCTGGGTGTGGGTCAAACCCGAAGACGCAGGGAACCATGGTACTTGTAGAATGTTGGTTTCAAATCCATTCTATTTTGGGGGGAAGCCCAATTTTGACCGATACGTCACGTCTAAGATCCAGGATGCTGTTTAACATCACGGGCCATGACAATCAAGGTGGAGGAATGCAGAAGCATCCACACCAACGTCGATGTCTTCTGCTGACAAAGCAGCTGCTGCTGCAAGTCAGCCAACCACACAGGCGGCTTCCTTGGTCGGCAGTTTCCTTGGTCATTTAAGATGACCAAAGGCATAAAAAATGTGGTAAACCCAATAAACTCTCCAAAATAAGCATAAATGGGTGGTCTAAAGCATTCCCAGAAGGTAGGTTTATTCTTTGGTTTCCCACATTACGCCTATGTCCGCAGTCTGTTTCCTAAAACAGGATGTAGACCAGACCCTGAAGAATTTGGGTGGGTCAGACTGACCAAAGACATCCTTTTAGACCAGGGGACCCCACAACATTGGTCGATTTTCAATCAACAACCATCCCAGTTTTTGTCAATGATTTTGAGCCGCACTGCACCTATAGGACCTATTTGCAATCCCAGAAAAATCCATGTTTTCGGTGAAATCCGTGAAAATCCCAGAAAAATCCACGTTTTCGGTGAAATCCGTGAAAATCCCAGAAAAATCCACGTTTTCGGTGAAATCCCGACATTCTTTGTTGGTTCAACCCACATGTTTTCTTGGTGAAATTGCTACATCTGCAGGGCACTGCTGCTTGGGATGCGGCTTCACCCAACTCCAAGGCAAACTGGTGCGATTTTCCGAGAAATCATGGGTTTTCATGGGTTTTCAATATGGTTTTCATGGGATTTCATGGGATTCAATGTGGATTTCACGTGGATTTCATGTGGAAAACATGGGAGAAATCATGGTGAATCATTGATGATCATGGATACTTAACGGATCTTAATGGAATATTTTATGGGATTTATTATTTGGGAATCAAACGTGGCTAGCTGGGAAATCCCCAAACTAAATGGAGGTTTCTTTGGGACAATCATCTATAAATGGGCCATTTCTATCCATTTCTCATAGCTATGTTAATTCACTGGAGAGTAGTTTATTGAGTAGTGGGGGATATACAACCAAAAATTGGTCGTCATTTGAGGGATTAACCATGGCCATTCAACGGGGACACTGATGTTGTTCATTGGAATTGGGGATACCTCCTTTTCAGAGAAACCCAAATGAGAATGGTACTAGGATGATTCTAAAATTTAGGATCAGCAACATCATGGTGAATCATTGATGATCAAAATTTAGGATTTTGATATATGTTCCTAGAATAAGATGAAATTGTGAGATCACCAGCAACCTCTATCCTGCTGATAGCCATATTCTTTCAACCCTATTCAACTACTCTTGGCCTTGGCAATGCAGGTGGAGACCCCACCAGAGGAACCAAGTACCTCCACCAAAAAATGCACGCCGTAGCCTGAGAATTGGCGACAACTGAGAAGCTTCAGCAGAAGGCACCCTGAAAATCCTGAAGTATCCCACAGCAGTGGCTGAAACAATCGAGATTTGAAGTTTCCTCCAATAGAAATCTTTGAATCACAGATGTATAATATAGCTGTATATAGCTTATGAAGACTCAACACGAATTAAGGATCCAAATACCTTTGAGTATCACATGGCTGGAAGCCGAAGATTCCCATTGTTCAATGGGTAACCTTGGCCGCCTTGGCCCAGGCCGAAGAATCCCTTCTGGGTGCAACCGGAGGTCCCTGCTCAAAAGAAAGCTCCCCAGGGCAGCAGCCACCTCAGTGGCCTGATTGACACCCCAATTTTTCAGGCTTTAGAAATCCCTTCATACCCCGTCATCAAACGTTGAGAGAGGATTTTCCCATTAAAAAAATGCGTATATTTTAAGGGATTTCCCCTTGCCACGCTTGATTTCCGGAGGGTAATATGAAATTGTCCACTTGAAACCATGGCTTAGTATTAGATCTATTCATTTTGGGGTGAAAGTATTGAGGGTATTCAATATCAAAAGGGGATGGGATTACAGTATAGTCATGTATAGTCAGTATAGCAACCCAAAAATGTGAATGCCTCAAAAAACTTTCCTGTCTTTTTAGGACCCCTGTACATTGACCAATAAAAGCGTGGATTTCTTACCCCACTTTGGAGCCATACCCCACATGTGATGCGGGAAAGGTGAGTTTGAAGCGTGTAGCAGTCTGTTGCCAGACTATTGAAAGAAATTCCATCTTGCGCCGAGATCTATAGAATCAATATTTTCCAAGTGGTCCAATATTTCTTCCCGAATCAGCATCCTCAAAGTTAAGTTTGCCAGGGATTGGTCACTTTCCCATTTTGGGATGTTTTGAAGATCACCTCTGGATGGCTTTTGAGGTTTTTGGAGATGATTTCCCGCTTTTTTATTTGGGGAACGGAACAGCCATACCTTTTTTGGCACTGAGGTTGTGATGGTATCAATGGTTTGCTTTCGGGAGTCGGAACCTCAGTCAGGTTCCTGACACTTCCAACGAGTGAACAAAAACCAGGCCACGAAGAGAGCAGCTGTCTTCTGTCTGTGCAAATTGGGTGTGAAGAACATAGAAATATGTAACCTGCAGAATACCTGCAGCATCGTCACAACCAGGTCCCTAGTAGATGGGATAGTTTTTTATCGCGTCGCCAGGCCACACCGCTTCACTGTCTCAGTGATGTGGTAGATGCTGGCGATCGAAATTTCGAGATTGACATTGCAGAGGCCTCGACGCAGGTTTTGCCAATTGAGTCGACGCAGGTATCTGGCATTTAGCCCCAGACTGAATTGTGATGGCCATCCTGCAGGGCAACTCACATGCAATGCTCCCCTCTGGTCAAAAACCCCAACACAGAGATTGACTGGTCATTGTTATTATGATGGTTGTTTTTTTTACCCCATGTGACACAAATCCGATGACCACCCCGGAGAAATTGACTAAGAGTTCCTCAGAGTTTGTCGCATCCTCCCAAATTGGATCCTCCGAACCATTGGTCCAGAAGATTCATAGCTACGTGAGCAGTGACCCCAAGCCTTGTTGAGTAGGTGTGTTGGGGCATTGTTATATAACTTACCTTGTATATTGAATATGGGAGATTTTGACATGACCCATTATGGGAACTCCTCTCAACCAAGCAGTAGAATGGAGTTATACCAATGATAAGGGCCATATTAAAAAAAGGTTATATACCCCACTATATTCTCAATATATCCAGATTTTATACAAAATTATCCCCAATATATATATATATGTATATATATATGTATATATATATGTATATATATATGTATATATATATGTACACACTATATACACACATCTCCAGTATATCCCAATATATCTCCCGTTATATCGTACAACCAAGTGCCTTTTAGCTTCCTGGACTCTGGCCGCTCCAGGAAGACTTGACAACGGTGCATATCAGCAGCTGGGAGCAGCGCCTCGATTGGCGAAGCTTCCTCAGTGAGGCCGCACTGAGTCCTCAGTTTCAGCAGGGAAGTTATGGTTGTTGGTTTTAATCAACCCATAAAAACTATACATAGTTATATTATACACCATACTTGCTATATTTATAGTTATACAACCATAGTTATGATAGTTACAAACCATAGTTAGTACACCATAGTTTTATAGTACCATAGTTATTATAGTTATATATATATATATCTACCATAGTTATATATCTACCATAGCTATAAGCCATAATTATATATTGTAAACCATTATAGCAAGATATATTAACCATCGTTTATGGTAAATATATCCCATTGACTAAGCAGCTGGCTCAGTAACTATCGTTTGGGGGGGCATGTTCGTAAATTCTGGCCGAACTATTCAGGTTGGTGAATTCGTTTTACATGATCTATCCATATATATATATATCCATTACAAGGATTCTGATAGAGTTTCAGTTTCACTAATATCTATGATGTTTGGATTCCTCTGGCACGTGACAGATGACCATACTTCATTTAAAAAAACATAGGTGGAGGATTTCGATCCATGCCCATATGTACCCAACATCGTCGTCTCATCGCCTCCAAAAGCTTTGCATCCTGTAGGCAGTTGCTGCAAGTCTTGCTCGGCAAGCTTTCATGAATTTCGACGTGGAGGCTTGATTATCTTGATTTGTTTGGCATGAGTCATGGGTCAAACTTGCGCCAAGAGACCCACAGCGGGTGGTTGCCATTTTGACTTCTGCAATATATGGAGGTTTCCTGAAATGGGGTTCCCCAAAATGGAGGGCTCACAATGGAACATCCTATTAAAATCGGTATCCCGGGTATCCCTATTTTAGGAAATTCTGGAGGTTTCCTAAGTCATGGTAGCCCCAGTCATCCTGGACCCCGAGGCGGAGCCGCCTTCCTACCCCAGACCGCCCCCCTCGGCCAGATCCTCGGTGCGGAAACCCAGTGGCATCGTTCCCGGAAGCCACGACCGGTGATGGTCTTCTTCAGGAAGGGAAGGAAAAAATGCTAGGTTTTCTATGAAAATTATGGGACTTTCTATGATATGGGGATGTATCAAAACCAATCTTGCTATATTTGGGGGGATGAACATCCATTTACCAGTTATTTGGGGTTCACTAGAGTACTAAGGTTTTGACTCATACCCATATCTAGCACTAAAAATTGAAGCCTTCAAATTCTGAAGAGATTTGATGGGTACTAAACTATCATTGGGACTGGATGGTGAACCTCTGCAGCTTTAGAGCCCCAAAGCGGGGAGATGTCACTCCTCACCTGAGATTGGGGGGGCTGCAACATGTTTTTTTTGTCTCAAAATAGGGAACCTCAACATTTCACTTCACCATGGTCACCATATTTCCGTACATTTCCCATATATATATTTAAGGGCTGCCGCCCCTGCCGCCGACCCCGGAAAAGAGAAAGCTGGCTTCATTCGAGTGTTCTGTGAGTTGTCAGCCTGGATGCTTTATATATACATATATATATATATGCATCAAATAGTATATACTTGTGTGTTGAATTGAAATTTTGCTAGTCCCTATCCCTGCCATGAAGCTCAAGCATCCATCCTTTTGCTTTCCGTTTTTCGGGGGTGGTGTGTCCTCCTCCCCGTGCGCGAGACATAGTCTTCGCACGGGAAAGGCACATCAGTGAATCATAAAGAGTTGTTTGAAAGCAAAAGAATGGATGCTGACTGGCGATGGAGCATGTATCGCGTTTGTCTGTCGTGTGATGCAAAAAAGCAATGTTTTTTATGCCAGACAAAGCAGACGAAAGAATACTTTAGCCATGTAGCTTGGCAAACGCGGGATCCCAAACGTCGATTGTGTTTGCAATGCCAGACCAAGACCCGCGGCTCTTGGAAATGCGCGGTCTGCCACCAGCGGCGGTCGCGGCACCACTTTTCGAACTGGCGAAAATGGAACGCAGATATGCGACGCATGCCATGCTGCGAAATTGCAGCATGCAGTCCGTAAGCGCGCTGCTGCTTCCAGTGCAGCTCGCCTAGAGCCCCTCCGGAAAAGAATTCGCCGCAGGCACATTATCCAGGAGACATGGGAAGCAATCGCTGCAAACAAGAAAGCACGCACACATGATCATTCGACAGATCCCGTGGAAATGCGCTCTGCTGACATGGCGTCGGCCGGCCTCTTGCAGGCAAGCAGTAGGGAAAAAACAGTTGCCGCGGCGCTGACGTGCGAAGAGAAAACTACAAATGAGGTTGCTACCGGTCAAAAAATGGATGCGATCCATTCATCGACCCAGCCGCGTGCTGTAGGGCCCAACACAGCACCGCCACAACTGCACACATACATCTGCCCGTACTGTGCCAAGTCTGTACAAAGCCCTGTGGCAACCGGGCGCGTCGATCACCGCCGCAGTAAGGGCTGCGGCAAACAATTTCGCGTTGCCAATGGCCTGCTCGCAGGCCGCACATACTCGCATGCATGTCCAACATGCGGCACGGTGGTGCACTCAACACTGGCTTCCGGCCAAATTCGGGTAACGCATCGCAATCCCAGCGGCCGGCAGTGTCGCACCAACCAGTGGCGCGTGCAGACCTGATGAAGTTTCCAGCTTAAGGTTGCCACACAGCACGGCAATGCCCCACATTACTGTCTGAACCTACAAGAAAAGTAGCCGTTTTCCAGCTTTCCAAGCTTAGAAACGGCGCCTCCGCCACGCCCAAACAGCAGGGCCCTGAAGGACAGACCGGGCCTGCCGGCAACGGCCCCTACTGCCTAACGTTGCTTTCTGAACCTATAAACAGCAAGGCCCTGAAGGACGGACTGGGCCTGCCGGCAACGGCCCCAGCGGCCTAACGTTGCTTTCCCAAATTACACGAAAAGTAGCCATCTTCTAGCTTTCCAAGCTCAGAAACGGCGCCTCCGCCACGCTCAAACAGCAGGAAAAGCATCAAAATTGCGACCAAAAACTCCCGAATGTAACTTCTGAAACCCATAGAAAAGGATGATTTTTTAGCTACTTTTTCCTCCTGCTGCTGCTGCTCCTCCTCTTGCTACTCCTTCTGTTCAAAGAAACGGCGCCTCCGCCACGCTCAAACAGCAGGGCCCTGAAGGACGGAAAAGGCTCAAAATTGCGACCAAAAAGTGCCTAATGTAACTTCTGAAACCCATAGAAAAGGATGATTTTTTAGCTACTTTTTCCTCTGCTGCTGCTGCTCCTGCTCTTGCTGCTCCTTCTGTTCAAAAGACAGCTCCCGGATGGGAAAACACCATGGCAGTGAAGGACGGAAAAGCGTCAAAATTGCGACCAAAAACTCCCTAATTTCCAAGCTCAGAAACGGCGCCTCACGGCGCCTCCGCCACGCTCAAACAGCAGGGCCCTGAAGGACGGAAAAGCATCAAAATTGCGACCAAAAAGTGCCTAATGTAACTTCTGAAACCCATAGAAAAGGATTATTTTTTAGTTACTTTTTCCTTCTGCTGCTGCTGCTCCTGCTCTTGCTGCTCCTTCTGTTCAAAAGACAGCTCCCGGATGGGAAACACCATGGCAGTGAAGGACGGAAAAGCGTCAAAATTGCGACCAAAAACTCCTTAATTTCCAAGCTCAGATTTCCAAGCTCAGAAACGGCGCCTCCGCCACGCTCAAACAGCAGGGCCCTGAAGGACGGAAAAGCATCAAAATTGCGACCAAAAACTCCCTAATGCTCAAACAGCAGGGCCCTGAAGGACGGAAAAGCATCAAAATTGCGACCAAAAAAGGCCTAATGTAACTTCTGAAACCCATAGAAAAGGGTTATTTTTTAGTTACTTTTTCCTTCTGCTGCTGCTGCTCCTGCTCTTGCTGCTCCTTCTGTTCAAAAGATAGCTCCCGGATGGGAATTTCCAAGCTCAGAAACGGCGCCTCCGCCACGCTCAAACAGCAGGGCCCTGAAGGACGGAAAAGCATCAAAATTGCGACCAAAAACAGCTCAGAAACGGCGCCTCCGCCATGCTCAAACAGCAGGGCCCTGAAGGACGGAAAAGCATCAAAATTGCGACCAAAAAGTGCCTAATGTAACTTCTGAAACCCATAGAAAAGGATGATTTTTTAGCTACTTTTTCCTTCTGCTGCTTGCTGCTCCTGCTCTTGCTGCTCCTTCTGTTCAAAAGACAGCTCCCGGATGGGAAAAACCATGGCAGTGAAGGACGGAAAAGCGTCAAAATTGCGACCAAAAAACTCCCTAATTTCCAAGCTCAGAAACGGCGCCTCCGCCACGCTCAAACAGCAGGGCCCTGAAGGACGGAAAAGCATCAAAACTGCGACCAAAAACAGCTCAGAAACGGCGCCTCCGCCACGCTCAAACAGCAGGGCCCTGAAGGACGGAAAAGCATCAAAATTGCGACCAAAAAGTGCCTAATGTAACTTCTGAAACCCATAGAAAAGGATTATTTTTTAGTTACTTTTTCCTTCTGCTGCTGCTGCTCCTGCTCTTGCTGCTCCTTCTGTTCAAAAGACAGCTCCCGGATGGGAAAACACCATGGCAGTGAAGGACGGAAACGCGTCAAAATTGCGACCAAAAACTCCTTAATTTCCAAGCTCAGATTTCCAAGCTCAGAAACGGCGCCTCCGCCACGCTCAAACAGCAGGGCCCTGAAGGACGGAAAAGCATCAAAATTGCGACCAAAAACTCCCTAATGCTCAAACAGCAGGGCCCTGAAGGACGGAAAAGCATCAAAATTGCGACCAAAAAAGGCCTAATGTAACGTCTGAAACCCATAGAAAAGGGTTATTTTTTAGTTACTTTTTCCTTCTGCTGCTGCTGCTCCTGCTCTTGCTGCTCCTTCTGTTCAAAAGATAGCTCCCGGATGGGAATTTCCAAGCTCAGAAACGGCGCCTCCGCCACGCTCAAACAGCAGGGCCCTGAAGGACGGAAAAGCATCAAAATTGCGACCAAAAAGTGCCTAATGTAACTTCTGAAACCCATAGAACAAGGATTATTTTTTAGTTACTTTTTCCTTCTGCTGCTGCTGCTTGCTCTGCTACTCCTTCGGTTCAAAAGATAGCTCCCGGTGGGATTCAAAAGACAGCTCCCGGATGGGAAAACACCATGGCAGTGAAGGACGGAAAAAAAAAAACGTCAAAATTGCGACCAAAAACTCCTTAATTTCCAAGCTCAGATTTCCAAGCTCAGAAACGGCGCCTCCGCCACGCTCAAACAGCAGGGCCCTGAAGGACGGAAAAGCATCAAAATTGCGACCAAAAACTCCCTAATGCTCAAACAGCAGGGCCCTGAAGGACGGAAAAGCATCAAAATTGCGACCAAAAAAGGCCTAATGTAACGTCTGAAACCCATAGAAAAGGGTTATTTTTTAGTTACTTTTTCCTTCTGCTGCTGCTGCTCCTGCTCTTGCTGCTCCTTCTGTTCAAAAGATAGCTCCCGGATGGGAATTTCCAAGCTCAGAAACGGCGCCTCCGCCACGCTCAAACAGCAGGGCCCTGAAGGACGGAAAAGCATCAAAATTGCGACCAAAAAGTGCCTAATGTAACTTCTGAAACCCATAGAAAAGGATTTTTTTTTAGTTACTTTTTCCTTCTGCTGCTGCTGCTCCTGCTCTTGCTGCTCCTTCTGTTCAAAAGACAGCTCCCGGATGGGATTCAAAAGACAGCTCCCGGATGGGAAAACACCATGGCAGTGAAGGACGGAAAAACGTCAAAATTGCGACCAAAAACTCCCTAATTTCCAAGCTCAGAAACGGCGCCTCCGCCACGCTCAAACAGCAGGGCCCTGAAGGACGGAAAAGCATCAAAATTGCGACCAAAAACTCCCTAATGTAATTTCTGAAACCCATACAAAAGGACGATACTGCCTAATGTAACTTCTGAAACCCATAGAAAAGGATGATTTTTCAGCTACTTTTTCCTCCTGCTGCTGCTGCTGCTGCTCCTGCTCTTGCTACTCTTTCTGTTCAAAAGACAGCTCCCGGATGGGAATTTCCAAGCTCAGAAACGGCGCCTCCGCCACGCTCAA